TATTTCACCATAAATTTACACTTTTAAAGCTATTTTTAATTATTAAAAAACCCGTTATCAAACGCGGGCACACAGCAATATTTTACTTTTTTTAATTTGAAAATTTTAATATACATAAAATGTACAATACTTACGTCTGTAAAACTTTTCTCGTCCCTCAGGTGCCGGAACGAGGTCACCATATTCGTTTGGAAATCGTTCCATTTTAGGAAAAACTGTTGATCAGACGACATCATTAAAGCGGCTTTTTTTTATTTACGAACGCAGTCAGGAAATCGGAAATAATTTATTTAGTACAGCGCAGCGCCCTTTGACGTTGGACCAATCCGTTATAATATGTAAAATTTAAATTGATGAATTTTCCAAAAAGTGTGTATGAAAAGCGTTTTTCTATTTATTGAAATTCTAATTATTTTATTGTCAAAGCTGCAACCGTTTTGAGAAATAGAGTCCAATATGGGTCAAGAGACGACAACAAGAAATATTCCAAATCACACAGTGCTTTTTACTCCAATACAAACAACTTCACACGCTCTTGGGCGCTCCACAAAACCTATGCAAACTATACCGTATCGGAAGTGTTGTTGGTATTGCTGTTTGCTAGTCTCTTGCTGTTACTGTCGCTGATGCTGCTGCTCCAACGTTTTCAATTTAATTCGCGTTACACGTATGTAGTAGTTGTTGTTGATGGATCACTATAACGTTGTACGGCAAATAGTGCTGTTGATCTTTTCAGCGTTTAGTAAAAATATTATTTTTTCTTATTTGTCTTTCACTTTTGAGTGCTCACAAAGAGAATTCGCAGCAAATACAAAAATAATAATAAAATACGACAAGTCGCTCTCACGTTGTTGGCTTTTCTTCTGGGCTCTTGCATTTACTGCGTTCAATGCACAGTTGCAATCAGATCTGCATGCCGTGTATTGCGCGATCAGTAATTCAACTCACGAGAGCGTTTCCGCTACTTCTATTTTATTATTGTTGCTGGATTTGGATAGGTTGGGAATTTCTGTAAATAATAAAAAATGTAAATACATATATTTACACATTGAACATATGTAGATGTATGTATTATAAGTAAGTAAATTTCCCTTTGCTAAATGAAATCTAATTATACAAGGGTTAATTAATTGTAGAGAGAGCGTGTTGTAAAATTGTTGATGATCAACAAATGTAAAATGGAAATATCACTACAAATTAAAAAAATTTAACTGTTGTATGCACATATTACAAAAACAAAAAAATTAATTTATGTTTATAAGATGCTAACGGAAAATTCTCCAAAAGTCGCTAACTGGCATCCAGAATAAAATGTCAAAACAATACCCACATTCGAAAATCAGTAAAATGCAAACATTTTTCGCGCAAGGAAATCTACTTTTAGTTCAGGAAAAAGCTGCATTCCGCACAGCACTCAAAGTACTCGTTTGTAGTTACAAATTTCGTGTTTGTATGAGTATTCTCTTTGGACACAAAATCTTTTGTGCAATAGGAAATATGTACATATGTATAAAAAAATAATAAATAAAAAACACATACTGCAAGTGTAGAACAACAATTAAATAGGTCGCCAATCAATTAGATGCTTTAAGAAATTGAAAACATCATAGGGTAATCAGCATGTTATGTATGTAAATGTTCTGTTTAATAATTTTCGCAATCTTACTTGATTAGACTAGTTGCTACACAGAAATGCAGTTATTCAGTTTACTGAAAATGTGTTTACTTTCAAATTGTATTTTCATCAGGATATTAAATTTATAAGGAACTCGAAAGTATTTAAGCATTCAAATAACAAAACTTTTCAACAAAGCTGTAAACCATGTATTTTACTAAAAATTTATGAAAGTTAAATTTTTAAAAATTTAAGCAATTTCGGTATTAAATATGTGATATTAATTAATAAATTGTTAATATTAAGAAAAAATAATTTTTTTTTCAGTACTATACAGTAATATATTAAAAACAAAAATATTAATTGATTTATTTTTTTCAATTTTTTTACGAAAAATGTCAAACGTCCACAATAAATGCTGACATAGTACACATACATATGTATGTATATATGAAGTTATTGAATATGCAACTGCGCTAACATCATGCATACAAAACCAAATAATGTAAGATGTTGCTTCATACCACAATTGCTCGACTGGAAGCTCCCACAAAACTTTAAGCCAAGCACACGTGCATATGTATTTTTGACGGCGCTCTTTAAATACATCCATTTGTATGACATATGCACATGCATAAATATTTATACGAAATATACATACGAGTATATGCAGGTATGAAAGCATTAAAAGTAAAAGGAGAAAAACAGCTAAGTAAAATGAGCCAACCGTGTGCAATAAGCAGAGTGGAGAGCAAGCGTACAACGTTACCAATCTAAGCGAAAAAAATACCTTTCACTTTTCAAGGCAATTTCTGCGCTGTTAGCTTGCTAGCTAGCTGTCCCACTGCGCGACGCTGCACTGCATCATCTACGTACAGAGAGTCAACCGACACATAACTGGTGATTCAGCGTTGGTAGCAACCAAAACATTGCCTCATACCATAAACTACATACATACATAGAGCTACAATATAGGTTTTGGTTTACACATATGCTATACCCGACAGTAAATTTAGCAAATACCATATTATTGTGCTACTAGCCCAATTGACAATTGTCATCAATTGTCTATATATTACAAATATCTGAAGTCTTGTTTTTTCATTTTTATATTTAATACGCTTTGTGTTATTTACAATTTACTAATTTGAAATATTTTGATGGTCTGAAGCCGTTTACTAAAACACTAATTTAGACTTATGTAGAAGCAGCACTTTGTGAAAAGGCACTTATAGTACATTTTACCACATGGTTGTAACGTAAAGGTTTGCCATAAAAATTCCGCATACAAAGCATTATCTCACTTAACACCCTCCCAACGCAATATTCTTTTTTTATTTTACTCTATCAGTTGCTCTGATCACTGTCGCTACGCCTGCGCAGAGTTTCAGCTTAAAACGCATACCTGTATGTATGTGGGAATGTGTAGCATTGGAAAAAAATACTAAGAGAAAGAGAGTGTAAATGTTAAAAAGCGAGCTAAGTTTAGCTTTGTCATACTTTTCCCTGAGCGATTTATTTCACATTTCATTGTGCAACCATAGCATTTGTTTTTTTTTTTTCTTCCATTATCGCTTGTGTTGTCTGTCTGCTCAGTAGAAAATCGTCCAATGAGTTGTGTAAAAGCGCTAAGCCAGCATAAATAATGAGTTGCTGTGCAGTAAATATGTTTTATACAATAATTATTTTCTGACTTTTTTCGAGCTATAATTTAATAAAATAGAAAATATGAATAAAATATTTAAACTTATTGGGCTAATATTTAGTTGTGATAACCATATTTCGCATATTAGCGATATTTTAAGATTTATCTTGATTTAGATCGGTAAGTTTATAATGAAGCTATATGCTATATTGCTGGATCTAAACTATTTCTTCGGAGCTTATATTGAAAAAGGAAGCTCCCCGACGTTTCCTTTTAGTTACTACAAACGCCATGGCAGGCGTAGATACTTTATATACAGAAGAATGTAAATGTAGAAAATAAATATCATAGCCCGTCTTCTTAGTCATTTAACCACAGTAGCTATAGATATGACACACATATAAGTCGTTATAAAAGAGTGTGACTTTTATAGAGTATTAACAAAATCATTATTTTTCTTCCTATTCTATATATTTTGATCCCAACACAGAAAACTCATGCAAACTCGCAACTATTGAGCCCGCAATACTTTCGTCGTAACGTGAATAGACAGCGTTATGTTAGTATTGTATTCACCGGCAGTTACTTGATTCCAGAGTAGTTTTTCGTCAGTTACAGTTCTTTCGCAACTTTGACAACAACACCACACTAATGTGTTTTACTGCCGACACTTAACTTTGTTGTTGCTGGTAAAAAGTTGCGACATCCAACTAAGCAACTAAAAGCGAAGAATCCAAGCCTAGGCTAAACAATAACGACTACAAACACATACTTTTGTAATAGCAAAAAGTTTTATAGAGGCCAAAGAGTAGCAGCTTCCAACGAATTCACTCGCATTTTTTAAATTTCATCAGCTATGTACGGCGGCATGTACTTTTAAATAACATGTATATAAAAATAAATCTACGTCGTACTATCTGTTTTTGCTGATCATTATTGTATAGTAAGTTCCGTTTTAGCAAGGTGCATTTTGGCGCGAAACAATCAATATCAGATCAGTGATTGCTTAGTTGATATTATAAAAGTTTCCTTATCGGCAAGGTAGGAATATCATTATTGGACACAATAAATAAATACAAATTATGGACTTGCATACACACCTGTTAAATATGCACAAATTTTTGCATTTAAAACTAGTAGAAAAGATAGAAAAAAACTTGCTGTTTTGAATATGACAAATTCTACCCTTAACGATTAAAAACCGAATTTCCTCTTATAATTTTCTCCGTTGATAAAGTAAATACGAAGTAGCAATACAAAGCAAAAATGAAAAAAAAAATATTGTGTAATAAATGCACTTCTTGCTTGCCGACATCTTTACAAGCATACCATTGCCTCTTGAGTTTACTATTGCACTTGCACAACCAATACCAGCCAAACAACGACTTCAACATGGTCATCAGACGGTGGCTAGCAAATCGAACAAGAGTACACACAACGATAAATAGTCACTGCAGGCACGGTAGTTTAGTAACAACAACTGAACAATAAAAGCCCAACTTACATTTCTAGAAAAACCACTTTTTCATAGAAATTGTTTTTTAGGTCGCCTTGGACTCATTTTTCGTTTTTTTCAACTATGCCACGCTCACTTCACTTCTTTGCTTATTGCTTCTTCGCAATTGTGTGGCTACTCTTTCTCTCTCAATTTCCTAGCTCTTTGCTTTTACTTCAACAAATCCACTGTCGATCAACGACGACTTTACTCCATTTACACAAGTACACGCATTCAAGTCAAAAACACACAAACATATATAACGCGTGCACGGTTTCATTTGCTTGCTTACAAAAAACTTCTTTCGCAATTTCCTTATATTTCAACAGTGTGCACATTGCTATCACCCACTAGTTTTTGATGCACTACATACATATACATCTAGCATATGAATTACCTGCATTCTATTAACGCTTTATTTTATGAATAATTTTAACTTCACAAAGCACACAGGATCTATTCACTATTTTTGCTTTCCTTTGTTACTCACTAAATTTCATGTATGCATACATGGTCATTTCGTCATTCAATCTTGCTTTCACCGCACCACTGTTTCCTAAGCTTACCTCTTTTTCAATACTTTTTTTTTTTATTAAGCACACGCTGCTCTGCTCCTTTCTCTAGTACTAGCTGGCTTGCTTTTTCTTTCGTCTTTCACGGCATTCAACACAGAAATGCTCACCGCACAATTTCTTCTTCTTCCGTTACTTTTCTCCAAGATTTCGCTTCGGCTATCTATTTCTTTCTTTTCCTCTTTCACTTTCCACTTCTACTTTTTCGCTTCCTTTTTAAAAGAAAATTAATCTTCTAATTTCCAATTTACTACTTTTTATTCTATTAATTTATATTTTACACGTTCGATATTCCACAGTGCACACGCAATGGTAATTGGAAAGATTCCGCTTGTTTTGCACTATTCGATGCAACCGATGGAAAACAATACTCTACTCAGTCACCGCCTTTCAGTTTCAGCGAGAAAAACAAAATGAAAGTCGTTCTTCTTTCCTTTCGATTATTTACTTTATAGCGAGTTTACATTGAGAACAGTTTGACAGAGTTGCTAATCGATTCATTGTAAAATTTTGCTTACTAAATAACATAAACTATACGACTTGTTTCTTGTATTTCTTTTTTAAATAACTGCGTTGAAATAATATTATATATTAATGTGGTTGATATATATACATATAAATCAAATGTGGGTTGTGACTAATAATGATAAGAACATAGGTCTTTAAATTTCGAATAATAACTAAAGTTTCGGTATTGTATTCTTATTTTGTTGAGAATTTAAAAGAAGTTTCGAAAACTTCGTATTTATTACACTGCACAATAAAATAAAATGAAAAAACCCTATCAGCCAGTAGCTGTTCCCTGGTCTTATTTGTTCCCTACAGCAAGAACAAACGCGTAACAGCTGATTTGTGTTATGAATAACAATTCCAATATTCTTATTTGCACGTGAATTCATAGTTTTCTTGTTGTTTAAAATTTTAACCGTATTATGATAATTAAAACTATATTTTAAAATGCTTTCGTTACGAAGATCAATTAAATATCCTATACAAAGTTATATTAAGCACAATGTACGCTTTTGTAGCAACACTTTATTTCAACAGACTAGCAATGAAACCAAAAATGACCATAAGTTATCATTACGACAAGCTGAATGGAATCTTGCACAACTGAGGTATGCCGAGCATCCTTTAATTTTATATAGTAACAAATTACAAGAACAAGTAGAATTTATGAGTCCTCAACAACTACGAGCGTATAAACATAAAGAGATTCTTAAGGAAAAGCGTACATTACGACAACTACAAAAACAACCACTTATAGCTGAGCCACAGCGCAGTGTTAATGTGGACGATAATAATAATAACAATTTTCCAAACAATTGGATGGAAGATTACGAATTCTATGAGGGCAACGATGACGGGAAACACCCACCTTACGGTACAGCCGATAATAGTATAAGTCCTGTCTCTTATACACATCTAGATGTGTATAAGAGACAGGTGTTAATGTGGACGATAATAATAATAACAATTTTCCAAACAATTGGATGGAAGATTACGAATTCTATGAGGGCAACGATGACGGGAAACACCCACCTTACGGTACAGCCGATAATAGTATAAGTCCGTCATCCGTGCCTTGCAGTGGTTGTGGAGCGCATTTGCACTGTACTCGGACTAATTTGCCAGGTTAGTTACTAATTAAGTTACTGAATTTTAAACTACATGAATGTTATGTAACAAAAATTATGTACTTTATCTAGGATACATTCCTGCAGAGATATTCAAAGGTCGCACAAATAAAGAACTCCAAACCATAACATGTCAGCGCTGTCATTTTCTAAACAATTATAATATTGCTTTAGATATTGAAATAAGTCCCGAGTCATACGTCGAAACTATATCTCGCATAAAAGATGAATATGCTTTAGCAATAGTAATTGTAGATCTATTAGATTTCCCATGCTCTATATGGCCAGGTATAGGCGATGTTCTTGGCCATAAACGTCCAGTGTTTGTAGTTGGTAATAAAGTAGATTTACTACCACGGGATCATAATAATTACTTGGCTCATGTTAAAAGCTGTTTGAAAGATCAAATGCTACAGTGTGGGTTCGACTCGCTCAATATTAAACATATTAGCTTAATTTCTGCTAAAACGGGCTACGGAATTGAAGAACTTATAACTCAACTTCACAAAATATGGGCATACAAAGGAAACGTTTATTTAGTTGGTTGCACGAATGTTGGAAAAAGTACCCTCTTCAATATTCTTTTGAATTCTGATTACTGCCGTCCAGAGGCTACGGATTTAGTTCGCAAAGCGACGACCTGCCCTTGGCCAGGTACGACTCTTCAAATGCTGAAGTTCCCTATACACAGACCTTCAGACATACGAATATATCAACGTTTCCAACGGCTAACTTCCGAACGTTCACAAAAGTACGCTGAGAACGCAAATCGCCGACAGAAAGCCCAGAAGACTGGCGACATTAATGCAGCCCGTCTTGTGGGTAAAATTGGCAGGACTTTCGTTAAGACTGAAGAAACTGTTGATGCATTTGCTGTTTCTACCGGAACACAACCAATAGTTGCGTTGAATGAAAGAGATCCACGATATCGTGAAGCTAAGTGGTGTTACGACACACCAGGAGTAATGCACCCAGAGCAATTTACAGAATTGCTTACAACACAAGAATTGCAGCAATTGACGCCTCCTAATATGATTTTACCCAGAGCTATACGCCTCAAACCGGGTATGAGTCTCTTCCTAGCTGGTTTAGCTCGTTTGGATTTCTTAGAATGTAAATACGTTGATATTGACTGGGTAAAAGTATTTGTATTCAGTTCTTTATGCCTACCTTTGGTTATTACTCACACGGAAAACGCTGAAAAAATGTACAAAGAATACCTTGGCACGGAAGTACTCAGCCTACCAAACGGCAATGAGGCACGTCTAGCTCGTTGGCCAGGATTAAAAAGTTCTAATGAAGTTATCCAACTTGTGGGCAAGTATGAGGACGCAATCAGCTCTGAAATAGTTTTATCGTCAGCTGGTTGGGTGGGACTGAGAGTGCCTTATGCCAGTGATTGTTCATTCAAAGCATGGACACCACATGCGCGTGGAATATTTGTACGTTCCCCACCATTGGTACCATACGCAGAACGATTGGTGGGGAAGCGTATACGAAACTCTTTAGCATACAATTTAGGAAAACCGTTTACTTTTAAAAAATAAATTAATATTTTTAAAAACAAATATTTACATGTCTTCGATTATAAATTAAAATATAGCGCAGGTGCTTCTGATATGCCAGAACACTGCACTCCGTACAATAATTATTTATAACAGGAGACTGCGGCCTTGTTTGCCCGCTATTACGTTTCGCGGTTAGGGTGATCGAAGGCGTTGCCTTTTGGCTACCTCGCCTGATGGTCAGGGTTGAGTTGAATGGACGACTCCGAGTTCCCCTGTTTACTTTGCTCACGGACGCGGATTTGCCATCTTCACACCGCTTCGAGAGGAGGCTCTACCTCTAACCCTGTTTTGTGCCAATTTCTTTGCTATCTCAAGAGTCTTCCTCTCCCGAATATGCCTCAGATATCACTTAAGGCTTTAACCACTCATACCCTTTCTGCGAGGGTCGTCATGTCCGCCGCGATTGCCGACTGGTGATAGAGGGCAATCGGCACCTTCTTTTCCATTTCCTTTTGCGAGCACCCTTGGTATCCGCCCGATGCGACTTCCTCGAACTTCAGTTGAGTCTGCTGGGGCAATTTTGGTGATTCTCGCTATAGTCGCAGTAGCCGCAACGCAGTGATCTGTCGGGTCTACGCTGGTTGAGAGAAGATCCGTCACTATACTATAGCAGATTAAACTCCTAATTATCCAGAATACCAAATATATGACCAGTGTGCGACGAGGCCACGCATGACTAACCATCTCTTTGTATGCCCAGCTAATCCTACACATCTGACACCACTCTACATATGGTCCGACTGTCCAAACAACAATTTTCCTGGGTCTTCCATTGGATGACCTCGTTGACAACTTATCTGCACCCTACCACTCTAATGATTCATGAATCAAGTGCCCACACATTTGCCGGATTGCTAGCAATGTACATTGCCTATCGAGATGCCAAATCAACTAATTGGCAGCAATGCTGCCGAGTAACAATCCTTGAGCGGATAAAAATCCGGGAAGTTACGAATAAGGAGACTTAGCAACCAATAAATGTCTCTGGGGAGACAAGAAGTAAGATATTATAAATGTTTACATACATAAAGGTGCATTTTTTATTTAGAATAAATAAATTGATTTTTCAAATATTTTCAAATAATATAATTTATCTAATTAGAACCTATTATATAACGGTGTTTCTATTTATATACTTTTTTTTTAATCTGAAAAAACATGGGATGAGTGTATTATACTTTTTAAGAATACTTAAAAACGTATTTGCAACCCTGGTTTTCTTTTTTGCTTCAGCAACCGATGTGACATTTGAAAACTTCATTGGGTACATAAGGAGATAAAAATGACAACAAAGAAAATTGGAAGAATTGGAAAATTTTAAGAGAAATTTAAAGATTCGAAGTGGTTTTAACTAATAGTGCACAATTAAATTGAACTGTGTTAGTTTATTATGGAACATTAGTTTCTATTCGAGAGGCTATCTTAAGTACTGAAAAATGTATGTAAAAATATGTTCTAGTTGATTAGCTTGTTTAGTACATAATCGAATTACTAATAAAACTTGTACTTTTATGTGAAGTCATAACGCGACGAAATGGAACAAAATTCTGTGGATCCATTTGCCTCAGAAAACAGCGGAACTGCCCGATTTGTGGATAAGCTAGTTGATAATGGTTTAGCGGGTAGCGGTGGTGCGTGCAGCAGTAATAGTGCAACTATAAACGCCACGCATGAATTTCAAACTATGAAACCGGGCTTGGGTCAAAAGCCTGGCCAAACTTTAGGAAGAACCGAAATACCGCATAGTGAACTTGTAAAGATGCTATATTTTTTGGAGGGTGAACTTCAAGCTCGCGACGTCGTAATTGCTGCATTAAGGAATGAACGAGTCAAACAATATATAACGCAACTGCGTACCAAACGTGTGCAATCAAATGATCCATATGCGGCAATTTTCCGTGATAAAATAGCACTAGCCGGCAATATGATATCGCGAGAATCATCAACACAAGCGGCTCAAGCAGAAATGGAAGTGCGACAAATAATTGAACAGCAAATGGAGCAACAATATCAAATGGTTAGCAAACAACGTGCCACGCATTTGCGTATGGTCAACATACTTACAGAGTCTTTGGAAAACAATCAACGTATGTTGCAGGAATTAGAAGAAGAAAAGCGAAAGCATGAACATGACACAGCTCAGGGTGATGACATTACCTATGGTTTAGAACTAGAGAGGACTAAGTTACGACAAGAGTTGGAAGAGGAACGAGCGCAATTGAAAAAAATGGAAAAAGAAATGAAAAAGCTGCAAGAAACTTTGGATTACGAACGAAATCGTCAAAAGCAAATAGTTCTCTTGCTTATAGCTGAACGTAAAAAGATTCTTATGAAGTACATTGAAGAGGGTTAGTAGCTGTGTAGCTACCACTTTTTGGGATAAAGCCGTCTCATTTCAATATTATAAATATTATTTTATATAATGAACCATCTTAGGTAAACGGTCAGAGGACTTGGCGCAGATACTAGCAGAGGAGAAGCAACGTTCCGATACTATTGCGGAAGGTCTAGAAGAAGAGAGTAAAAAGTCATTACGTATGGAAGAGGAAATGGAGAAGCAATCTGCTGCGTTTGAAAATGAACGCAAAACATTCAAATTGACCGCTGCCAAGGAAGAGACGCGGTACTTTTTTTCGCCAGGTCAATTAATATTGTATAATAATTCTTCGCATTTGCAGAATTAAAGAACTCGAACAAGAGGTAGCGTTGCTGCGTGCTGAGAATGAGGCTTTAAAGAAACAGCAACAGATATTGCAACAAAGTGTGGCGGCTGGTGTGAGCGGAACACTTGTTGGCGGTGCCAAAGCTAGAACTCTTAGTGGTGAGCGTGCAACATAAGCATACATATTATAGCATATTTACATAAATTTTAATTGAAGAATTATTTTTATTTCAAGCGGAAAAATTTTGCTAAACTCTTTCAACATTATTTATTAAAGTCAAACCAAGTTACCCTCTTCTAACCCAATTTATAAAGGTGACTTTATTTATTAGCATTTTATCACTTAAAAAATCGCGGCATTATTTTCACTAACAATTTTTAAGGTAATCTCTGACTTACAACTTTTATGTTCATTATATCGTCTTATTTAAACTATACCTTATAATGTTGGTTGTTTATTAAATGTCAGTAAATTTTGTGTCACATGCTTTATTAGCGGCTTCTTTATTTGCATCGATTTTATGCTACTTTTTATAAATTTGTGTAAGAAAACTAAACAATTTCTATTTTACAGATGATGCATGTGCCACACCAATGGTAAATATTGCGAAAATCGTGCAACCAACAGCGACTGTAACGAGTGTACCCGTTTCTGGTCCAACAACCGGCATTGCACGTGCGCCCGGTCAGACATTGCGCAGCGGTGTAGGCAATGCACTGCCCGCTATAGCAGTAGCACAATCAGTTGCAACTGCCATACCGCTACAAACAGTTGCATTAGCCAATGCAGGCAATATAATCGGTGATAGCACAACAACTGTAGCTGCTGCAATATCAGCAGCAATTACCTCAACAGCAAGTAATTTAACAGCCGGTAGTGTAGTTGGTGCTGTTGGTTCGATTGTAGCGGGTGCACCACCATCCCCATCGCCTGTGAAAATGCAGCCAACAGCAACTATACAGCGTGCACCAGGCGGTAAATATGCAGCTTTAGCTGCAGCTGCTGCCGCATCGCACTCGCTGGATCAGACGGCGACGGCGCCACATCCAGTGCCAATTGCTGTACCACCCGTTACAGTACCACCGGCTGGCGCACGTGGTGCACCACCACCTATACCCCCCAATAAACCCATTGTACCGCCAAAGCGTGAACCATCGCTATCGCGTTTAAGTTCAATTGCTGTGGCTAGTGCAGTCTCCGGCACGGTTGGTGTAAATTCAGCTAATTCAGTTGGCATTTCAAACGCTACATCCAATACAAAATTAAATTAAAAACGCTTTAACCGCCAACACCGTACGAGTATACTGTTTCCAAATAAACAAATTAGTAGGAACATGAAAAAATCCAAGATTCACATATAAAATTGATATTCAGTTACAAAAAACACTGATACAACAATTAAACTGTTAACTGCTGTGCGTATATGCGTAAGTTGGCATAAATATTCACTATCTTGGTTCGTTGAAAATTAGACTAAAAAATTAATATTAAATAATTCACATTTACCTCGGTTCTTATATGAGCATAACCAGTACACATAAAACGATATTGTTGGTATAAATGTTCTCAATTTTACTATTATGCAGGCTTAGCTGCTTACCCCCCGCAGCTTGTGAAATTCATGTAATGTTATATATATTTTATTTTAAGTTTCTTGTACAAGACGTGTAATCGTAACATATAAAGCTGGCTTTGCATTTGTTTTCTATTACTGTTCGGGCAGTAGTGTGTCTCGCCAATGGCAAATATTGTGAAACTCGTGCAAGCAACAGTAGTGTTCCTAGCTGGCGTTTTGACTAAGCTCCGGGAATTATTTTTTGTTAAATTTATTTAACTCAAATATTAGAAAACTCTTATTACAAGTAATTTTCGAAAAAAAAAATTTTCAAAAATTTTATATTTTTTCAAAAATTTTATATTTTTTATACCTACGATCTTGCTTTTATATACAACAATTACATTTAACAAAACAAACAAATCTCTACCCTGTAGTCACTATTATACTCTTAACAAAAGAAAATCGAAACGTAATCATGGCCATATATACATACATAGTTGTATAATTAATAACCGCTAAAATATATATGCGTTAAAAACTGCAAAAATTCTAGTATTATATATAAATATACAAATAAATATTAATTTCGAAAGAGAAAACAATTAAAAAAAAAAAAGAAAACATAACTGAAAGTAGTAAACGCTCTACGGGGCGAGTGAAAAACGAAATAAAAGGCAGCAAATGAAATTGTTAATGAGGCAATGCATCAATGCGCTAAAGTATTACACACGTTCATACACGTAATTACAAAGTAACTAAGGATTATATGGTTACTCAAACCAACAAAAATGAATTACGGTATTGTGTATTACACACACCGCAGCTATAGTGTGAAAGTTTAAATATATGTTAAGCTTAATAGGTGGAACGTTATATGCCCTTTTGTTGTAATTTCTTATAGTTTGAATATATATATACATATATATAAAGAAAGTTATGTGGTATGATTTTTAAATGATAAGTAGTTCTACTTCTTTACTTTAAGTTTATTTGTTTAATGGTAGTATACTCACCCGTTGTATATTTAGTTCTGCATTAAGTAATTACGAAATAAACGTTTGGAAAACATATTTCCAACGAATATTTTACACACATGATTCAATAGGATCACAATATTGAACCACTTGAATTTATCCTACCTACATTTTTTATGTATTTATAATTATTAAGAGATATTTACTGTAAACATTACTAATAGTAACGACGACAGAGCCAATGTAGAAGCCGACTAAGGAACCACAATCAGAAACAACCTATTATTTTTTATGTCTAAAAGCGGCGTGTAAACAATTTGTATTTAAGGTTTAAATTTTAAACAATAAATATTGAATGATAAATAGTACTCAACCCATAACAGTGTTTTCAATTATAATAGCGCGTGATAAATTGCGTGCGCAGGCCAAACGTAGTAAATTGATGATTTCCTCAATATTTTCGATGCGATAGTCCTTTAGAATGTTGATTGGTTCCTATAAAGAAAAATTCATTTTAAAATAAAGTAATTATAAATAAATAATTATAAGGAAAAAATAATAATTATAAAAAAACCAATCTTAACAAAAATTAATTAATTATGAAAAATTTACTTTTCAAAAGACCAAAAATAATTAAATAATAATAAAAATTATAATTTTTAAAAAGTTAAAAAAATTAATTATAATTCAAAAAATTTTAATTAAAAAAAAAAACAAAAATTTAATTATCAAAATGAAAAATTTTATATAAAGTGCATAATTTTGAAATGTAAACAACATACATCCGGATACTTTTCCAAACGTTTTTTCTTCTTATCTATCAAGGGCACCAGTTCAGTTTCCAAGTGCTGTAGTATGGCGCAAGTTTCTTTGGAGAGTATTTTTGGATCCTTCGATTCGAGCAATGGTATGGAATCAATGAGTAGTGAAGGCCAAAAACTGTAAATAATGCAGAGCGTAATATGTTAATGAATCTAACAAGCTATTAGCTAATTCTTCGTACTATTCCGGTGTAATCTTCGACTCCAAGAGATTGACCAGCAATTCGGCAGCAGGCAAAAAATCTCGCTTACGATAAAATTGATAGAAATCAAAATATTTCACTAAAAATACTAAACGTGGCGATATGAACATTTTTGCACCAATATTTGCTATCACGTCTGGGCAGAGCATATCACCGGTTTTGGAATAGTGCTGTAAAAAAGTAACAATTTTACAATACACAGTCTAAATCCAATAAATTAAAAGAAAAACACATACGTTTAATAGAAAATCCGCTATCGTTGTGACATAGAGCGTGTCTTTCGAGCGTATAGCCCACTCTAAAGCGTTTCCATAACGCTGTTCATCAAGTGATTTCTTTGACTGTATTTTACAAATGTCTTGCTCTAGAAAGGAAATAATAAAATGTATAAAAGTCAAAACATATGTATAAGTATAAGGATTTTTACCAGCTTCGAAAAATCCTTTCTTTTGTGCAATGCCGATAATTTTTAATGCCTGTTTCTCCGTGCGGAACGGTATTTTCGTGAGCAGTAGCGCTAATGCGGCTTGACCTTCAAATGCGAAAAATAAAAATAAAAGTAAATTGTATAATTACACTATACAACTTACCCTCTTGACCACAATGGTCCAGATAGTCCATGCCTAACTGCCACAAAGAGTTGCATGTCATTAATGAGCTTCCAAAATCATAAAGCAAAGAGTCACGCAGTTTTATGCATTCACTAAATATAAAAAAAAATTAATATTTATTTGTATAATTTTTCGCTTTAAAATTTTATTTTTCATGTAATGCTTACTTGACTTGATTCTCGCCCACTATTTGCAACTGCCCAGCATTGTAGAGCAAGTCCGTGAGATGTGTGACGAACCACTGATTATCTGCCATCAGCTGTATTGCATGTATAACTTGATGCATATCGTTTTCCATGAGACTAAGTATAACACGATCTAACTGTTTCATTTGCAACTCATTACTGTTGTGTCCTTTGAGGCGCGCCCAACGCGATAGCCATGTGTTGGCTGCATTGCCCAATTCGAAATGCTTGCATGCATTATTTGTGTAGAACAGATAACCGGGAAAGAATTCATACCAATATTCGGTCTCTTGTATTTGGGTATTCCACATTTGTGTATCACCTGTTACTAACTGTAAACAAATTTTTATTTTTTTTATTTGCATATTTAATGATTTTACGCACCTGAATTAGTTCTTCTAGGTTTGGTTCAATGGCGAGAATATTTGCAGAAATTTTTCGTTCGGTGTCAGTGAGCCAATACTGCCACTGCGAACGGAATTTTTGTATTGAAGTAGCACCATGCATCTAAAAAAAAAAAATAATAAATAGTTATTATAATCATATGAAAATATTTCCAAAGCGCAACTTACACTATAAGTCGGCATGGTTTTCAATATTTGATCTGTTAGTTTAAAGTGAGGCGTTTCAGCTTGTGGGTGTAGATGTAGCAAAGCACGTGCCACATCTACTTGCCCCTGCATTATTAGACCTTTAAGCGCTGGCCAATAATCATCGTGATCACTTGCTTCTCGACCTAATAAAAGAAGATCAGTGGCCATACGTTCCGAAGCAGGAAAATGGAAACGTATCCAATCGAGAAGTTGTGGGACTACCGCATTGGTTGGTGTTGGATCCAGAAATAATATTTCACTTAAATGCCACACACATTCAATGGAATAGAATATTGAAATGTATTGTTGATATTTAGCTTGTGCGTCAGCATCTTCAGCTTCTTCTGCGGTTGCCATAGCATCTTGCAATTTTTCAAGACATGCTCGTATAATACTGCGATAAGTCCGCGAAATTTTCATGTATTCTGCTTTCGAGCCGCGTTTTTTAAGCTCTTGTAGTGCTACAAATGTGGAATTCGCTTCGGCCACAAGACTACGTAGGATGGGATCATCAAAGACAAACTCTGGTTGTAACATATGTATCAATACGTCATCTTTGCCTGCAGATTCAGTTGGAGCATCTCTTGTATTACTGGTAATTGGTCGAAAGGCAGATAAAGCAATTTTGCTACCAGAAACAAATTGACCCGTGAGCGTGTTGGCATACCGACTGCACAATGGGTCAACTACAGCCTAATAAAAACACAAGCGGAATTATTAAATTGGTAATAGTATTAATGTATGAAACTGCTTACAAATATGGCTGGCTGATCTTCCTGCATTATTCAAGATTATTGTTTATTTCCTTTTTTTCTTGATGCCGGACAAATGTAGACACATTTGGCGCTCGTACTTATGACAATTGAGGTACAAAAGGTTGCCATATTATGTATAATATGTGGACACTTCAAATTAACTCAAATAAATTAATATAAGCTTTGCATTTGTTACAATTTTTTCGGCGGCTGCGATTTAGAATAGCATCCCTCGATTTCGGAGTTAAAATGGGTATGTACGGATAGAGGAAGTCCTCCAGATCAAGAATATATATATATTTATATATAGTTGTCGCTGACTTATGGTTTTTGAGATATTTGCATTTAAAGTTCAAAAAATCAGCTATTTAAAATGTTTGTTTATCTAATTTATAATGAATTTTACACTTATATTTTTAACTTTTATATTCACTAACACTTCACTAATTCGAAAGAAAGGCAGAAATTATATTATAACCACCATTATTAGTAGTATTAGTAAAGAGTATGTTTTTATTTATTTTATATGAGCTTTCATTTTTCTTTAGTCTGGTTAAGTTATGATAATTAAATTACAGTTTACAAATTTTGAAATCAATGAAATGATTATTAAAATTTAGAGGATATAAGAAAATAATATGTTATCAATATTTATGGTATAAATAAAAAGGAATAAAATACAAGTTTTTTTAGTTTTTATTTATAAAGGAACGAAGCTAACATGTTTATTACATCTTTAGATTCCTATAAATATCGTACTCTAATATTTTAATTAGGCGTATTGTATTTACATTTATAACTAAATAGATGAATTGAATTTGGTGACGGAAGTAATTTTTGTATCACTGGATACATTTGAATGGAATTGCTTAGCACAACCCATTGCAATAAGTCTCTTTGGAAAAGAAGAGTATGGCGCTCCCATGAATCGTACTATTAAATCATCATCATGACTTACAACCTTGACATCGAAAGTATGATTAAGAATTAGGGCATTTAGAGTACGAATACCATTTTCATGCAAATCAACAGATGCTTCTGAATTTTGCATAATGTCTGCTAGTCTACACAGTACTGCTTGAAATGGGAAATGCTCCGTTGACCGATCACAATATGCTAATTGCTTGATCATGACATTTTGATAATTACCATAATCGACATAAAATACTTTGAAGACTTTAGCAGATTCATCAAAAGCCATGATTTTAGCGCGATACCACAGTCCATCTTCATATTGAGCTCGAACCAGATCGTACAACATTGGTGGCTTAGTCAAATGCATACTTTGCGGTATATCATCATCATTCCATATAAGCGGTTCCATAATATTTTCTGGATCATTTATTTGCGCGTGAAAATACTCAATATGCCCCACATGCGTAACAGTAATATTTATCATAAGGCCGGCTGAATAACGTGTCACTGGTGAATAATCATCAATTATAGTTCTTGTTGGTATATTGTCTTTAGTCCATCCCTCTGGTTGTGATGGACTATGCTCTAGCCGACAATTGGCGCCCTTGAAACAAGCACCAGTTTCCGGATCATAAAAACGGCAAAGGCGTTTTTCGTCTTTTGGGCTGTAACCCAGAACCGCTTTCATTGCGTTGGATGTATTGAGTGGTTCTTCAGCCAAAATATCCATCTCCTCAGCGGTCAAGCCATTGCTCTCGGTAAATATTGGATTGTTGGATAATGCAGACAGAGGTATAGCTTCATCACTGTCATCAATGGTGAATTCCGTAGTATTTTTAAATGGATTTGTGTTGTTTGTTTTTTCCACAATTTCTTTGCTGTTATTTGAAGCTTCTATTGATGCCGACGAGGGTGTCAACGGTGTTATCATTGATGTTTCTTCATAGAGTTCCAATATCAATGTACCCTCTCTGTCTATTTTAGATTTTAGGATGAAATTTGTGCTCATATATTCCAATTCTTGTAAACATACTTGCAACTGTTTTTGCGGTATATTCTTACGACCATTGATTCCCGTCAATTTGCATAACATTGCTTGGGCAGGTATACGTTGTATTTCTGTTGGTAAACGGTAAGTTACGTCTGCTTCTGTTATTGTGGCTGTTTCACCAAAGTCTAATAGTAATACTTGTGTTTTATTTTCGTTTGATTTTATGCGTATAGCACGGAGAATTGTATTATCAAGTACAAGACCGAAAACTTCATCTTCCTGTGGAAATCCAGTATACTGCTTAAGATGGATCATACTCTTCAAATTTGCGATTTGTTGAAAGTCTTTAGATTCCGCATCACATATATAAAAATACAGAGCATCCAAGTCAAGAATATAGGTAATTGAGGCTTTTATCAAACTTCCTACTTTATATATTGATATATCCTTTTTTAAATATTCTACAGCGCACAGCTCCTTGTCTATGTCCTCATTTTCTTCAGCAGGTAGAATAGATAAATTTTTATAGTCGTAACTGAGTTGCTCCTCTTCCATGCACATCTTAGATTTGATATGTGCTTCCCGCTCACATGATTCCAACGCTTCAAACAAGATACGCGTCGACTTCTTATCCAGATCATTTACAAATAAATGAAAATTAAATTTACGCGCGACTTCTAGCATGTTCGAAAGTATTGTGAAGTATTTGTCATAGGCCATCATAGCGATTGCATTCTGTTGTTCAAGCGCTTCCTTGTTTTTAATAAATTTATCATATACTGCATCTATTTTCAACAGATATTTCGTAATACTCTTCTTCACATGTTCCAGCTCTTCCGCGTGCATTTCGTACAATTGTTGTAAATCCTTCAGCATTTTATTATTGCTTCGTCAAACTAAACCCCCCGTCTCAATTAAACCAAACACAACCTTTGTAAACAAAAGATAGTTGCACGTTTGTTTAGGTTTCGTTGCCACCTTTTCAGAAATATTTTTGTAAGATTTGCTAGTGATGACAACATAACTTATAATCATATGTCAATAAACGCTTAAAAGTTAAATTATCGTTGTTTAATGAAATTATTCTAAACTAATGATGTGAAGATGTGTTAGAATTTAACTTTTACTTTGGATAACTTGAACTATATTTTATGAGGACCGATCGTTCCACTTTGCACTAAGGAAACCACAACACAGGCAGTTAAAATATGCCGCCCCAATTTCATCGCTTGATCTAGAAGGTCGCAGCCCTAATGCTTTTAGGTGCGAACTTCTTAAAATATTAATTCTTTCCTACAATTCGATTTCGAAATCAAATACTTAACTGACTCGACTTAGAAAGAGCCCAATTTCTGCCTAGTACTGAACGCCATTCCTGGTGGAGGCATTAGTTCCATCGTCGACTTTATACCGACGAGACTAGTCGAGGAACGGAGAACGGACTCCTTTGACAAACACCATTCAAAATTAAAACAAAAAATAAACTTTTCTTTTAACAATAACATTTTAGTTTAATATTATAATATTATATTTACATTGCAGAGGACGACATCTTCTTTAAGCGCTTACAACGCTATTAGACCTCTGCCGCTAGCACCTAAAACAGCGGCTGTTGCAGTCGTTGAACTTGAACCAACGAGCCGACGCATAGTTTGCAATTCATCGCGTAGGGCCATGACCTGTGCACGCAAAATCGAGTTCTCTTGCTCAAGTAGAGCGGCTCTGAATGCAATACGATCTTCGCGTATTTTTCGGGCATCACGTGATTTTTTTGCCGCTTCATTGTTTCGTTTACGTCGTTCATAGTATTTCTCATCTTTTTGCTCGTCCGGTATGGGACGCTTTTCGCCGCGCGAACGTCGATGGAGGAACGCAGGAAATACACCGACTCTATTCAGCTCCATTAAGGGAAAATCGGCGATGCTGAGCGTATGATTTGTGGGAGAAATATATTCAAAGGCGGGTAAAGTTGGTTTATTAGCTGTCACGGCTCCGCCGGTAACTGGTAAGAGGCCAAGTGTTGGCAATGGTAACGGCAGGCTGGGGTTGCTGCAGAGTGATTGTGTTGTTGTTGTAGGTATAGTAGACATTTCATGGCCGATTGTGGCTGTTAAAGAAGAAGCCTGCATTTTTCCACTTTTTCGGCTATCTATATGGGTCTCAACATCAAGAGAGTCTGTAGAGTCTGTCATCGATAACGGTTCAATAATATCCAATAACGGTGACTTGGGTGATATGGAGGAAGAAATAGCTTCGTCTACGTTGACATCGCCAATATTCTCCGTCATGTTGTAGTAACTTTGCGCATCTATTAAATGAAAAATGTAAATTTATTCGAAAATTTTTTTATCTTAATCTTAAGATCTTAAGATAAGATAAGAGAAATAGATGAGGATTGCACCGCAACCTAAGTTCTTTGGTAACCTCTCCTAAGTTACAACGACCCACTTAGCCCAACTATATTTATAAGTTCTAATATACGGCTATGTGCTTTTGCTAGTACTCTTGCTTACAGGCTATTTTGAAACATGGACCCAAAAGCCTTTATCTTGCATCTGTAGACTGCTGTACAGTGAAATAGTAGATGTAGCGCTGTGTCAGGCTCCCTGTTGCAGGACCGACAATTTGCTCAAGAAGCTAGGCTCATATTATGTATGTATAGTTTGTACCTTGGATGGTTGATTGCATATTCATACCCGCTGAGGTTGTAACCACCCATTAGCAACTTGGCATGCTGCATGCCTTGAAGTTGTTGCCAATACTTCTTCCTGCCTACTACTCTTCCTTGTGGAACATTTCCTTTATGCTAAGAGGATCCAACGCGATGAAGCGGGCGAGCTCATCAGCCAGTTCATTTCTGGCTATATCTTTGTGACCGGGCACCAAGATAAGGTGCACTTTGTTACCTTACGTGTTCAGCTGCTCTCTACCCTCCTGCATCAGTAGCGAATTGACCTCGTAGGCACACCTGCTTGACTGTCCCTAAGTATGCTTTTACGTTATGATAGATCATTCTCTTCAAACATTTTCAAGATGATTCTGAAAATGGATTTCATTCAAATAAATCACTGGAAGGAATTCAGAGACCATGGAAAAGCTTCAAATTGTGAACTTCATACAAATAATTCGACACTAGTACTCTTGCTTACAGGTGCTACTTCGGATTAAGTAGGACTTTGAAAAGGAAAGTCTTCTCTCGACGAGCAAAGACCAAACTCAATAAGTCCCTCATTATTCCCGTCCTGTTGTTTTTAGCAGAGGAATGGACAATGTTATAATCTGATGAGTTTTCGAGTGAATTAAAAGACAGCGCCTACGCTGGCTAGGTCATTTCGTTCCAGCTATGAAAGTATTCGACGCTTAACCCGTCGGGGGAAGCAGAGGAAGAGGAAGACCTTCATTCCATTGGAAAGACCAGGTGGAAAAGAACCTAGCTTCGCTTGGAATCTGAAATTAGCGTCAATTAGCAAAAAGGAAGGACTGGCGCGCTGTTGTAAACTCGGCTATAACCATGTTTACGGTGTCTAAGCCAATAAAGATGAGCAAGCCAATAAGCGTACTGGGGTTCGGTACACGTTGCAAATAAGCGCAGCCCGGTTATTTAGATTTGATATTCGAAACTATATTTTAAGATAAGCACTGACCTGATTTTAAAAGAAGTATTTTCTTCCAGAAATCACGTGAACTTATTACAAATAATACCACGACGCTTTTCATTAATATTTTTAAAACACGCACTGTACCCAAAATTGGTTCCAAAGGTGTATTTGGTTTGATTAAAATTTCATTGAAAAAAAAAAAAAAAATCGATTATCGGATTTCAAAATGCGTCGTGGGTTCTGGTTAAATTTCGAGACAACTCTTCGACTTTCACATACTCTTCTGCGACTGTCACTTATTCTTCTTCGAAAATTAACACAAAAACATCAAATTCAAAATTCATCGAAATTTCACCTGTATTTGGTAGCATTAACCGATTACACGTGCGTAGAAGATGAAGCGTTGAAAACGATAAAGGATCAACCGTATTATTGAAGCCGTTATGTTGCAGCGAAGTGTTGCACATGCTCAACGATCAGCTTATAACTTTTATTTATATTTGTTTGTAGTCGCAACTTGGAGTTTTCTTTCGTTTCCGAGTCCTGCTCGTCCTGTGGAAGTTTTGCTACTAAACAAAAACCGTTACTTGCAATTAACTTGCGATATTTTTACTAGCATTCTATTGCTAGCTCAACAGCAGCACATACATATGTTCATACAAAGTGTCCTGTGAAGCGTTTTTAACCTATATTATATACATATGTGGATTTATTTGTACGAGCTAGCTATAAATTCTCTCATTGAGGGGGTGGTGCTCAGCTAAAATTTTGCTTCACATTCACCCAAATGTATGTAGTTTTATGCTTTATGCTTATGTATGTACTTACCAGTGTATGGTTTGTGTCAATGTTTTTTGGCTTTCAGAGTTCTGATTCAACCAATCACGCAATGTTGACGGTAATTACTCGTCGAATGCATGACACTTTTCATGCTGAATAACACTTATTTGGTTGCACGGTTATAAGGACTTTATATATAACTGGTTATACGTTCATTTATACACCCACGAAACTTCGATCGTCTCAACGACACACAGGCTTACAATATTAGGCATAGTCGTGCCCGAAAATCTTTTAATGGGGGTTGATTTCTTGACTCGATTGCGGTCACCCAGAAACGCTCTATTGTTCCTCTGGTGCCCCGCTCTGGACATTTCCTAAAGCCTTCTCAATCTGTTAGCTCCATCCTGCGGGCGTGTGTCACCACCAGTCAGTGCACAGTTAGTTTTTCACGCAGGTAGCTCGTTCCATAGGGTTTTACTTTTCTTTGCCAAGCTTCTGTCGAGATCATCGTATGGGTTTCCCAAAATGGATCACGTTTTCGGCTGTTAGCCGTATACCATTCTTAGCAATCTCGTCCACTATTTGATATTGACTCTGTAATTGCCTGCACGTGCATTTGAGGATAGCTCCGCGGCTTTTGCAAATGCAGAGACCTCAGCTTGAAATATACCGTAGTGGTCCGACAACTTAAAAGGTTGCCTTATGCCTAACTCTGGACAGTACATTCCCGCACGAAATACATCGTTAATCAATTAAATAAGTCTGAATAAAAACAGCTCAAAATGGTAGCCAAGCCAGAATGGACGATCAGGAATGTTTCGCTATGTGCTTGGTGGATCCATTGTCAAAAATTAGAGCAAGAAATCGTTCAGAATCGGTCAGCTTTGCCCAATCGAAGTTGAATTGAGTTCAATCAAGACAATGCTAGCTCATACACCTCGTTAGAGAAACGGGGCTCCAGGTGCTCCGGGAAATTGATTGACTGTTTATTTTGCATCTACCTCATGGTAAGGACCTGTCACCGGCTGATTACTACCTGTTACTGTCTATAGCGAGGGATTTTGTAGGTGACACAATCGTTTAAGAAATACTCGTGAAAATCTACGGTTTGTCATATGGGACGAGGCCCTGCGAAGATCAACAATTAGGGTGGTTCAGCTATTAGGTCTTATAATGTTTGAAACATATGTTCCGTACGCACTTTATAGGGATTTATCGTAAAAATGTTCCAATGAGTTATTCCTTATCTGGAAAAGAGCTATGAAGAGTTAGATCGCAACAACCGCAACTGTCTTGTACCCCTACATCAATGTCTTACGCCCATGTCCATTGCTATACGCGTGTCTAATGCGATGGAATGCCTACAAAATAGTCGCAGCATATATGGCTTTGCTATAGAGCAGAATGTCGAAACTGTTTTGACTTTTCTGTTACACTCTATATCTGCCTTATAGTACAAGTATATTCGGTAATTTTGAAGTGGCATTGTATGGTCCACCCATATCCAGGGGGTTGTTTAAAATTGCCTACTGCCACCTTGGCTCAGCATGTTAAATGACTAATCTCGTTAGAAATGCACAAATGTAGCAAAGTTTTCCAACTCGCTTGCGCACTCATACACATTAAATGAATGTTATAACATGCTATTAACAATTCAGAGGGAGGTTTACATACATAAGCGTAAACTTACATATATAAATCTCTACCGATTTGGCCAATCAAAACAAAGTTTGGTTTTTTATATACGGGATTACCTATGTACATATATAATGCTGGAACTATAAATATGTTACCGTGGTATGGATAATGGCATCCAGAGATAGCCATCAGCGTAGGTAACGGCGAATCGATGACATTTTGTGACTGTGATTTGGTGCATAGGCCAGGATTTGGGACGAAGAGCAATCTGAACAGATTCAAGAGCTGCCATTTCACCTAGAAAAAAAAAACAACGGTTTAGTGTGGTATGTTTGCCGGTCTTCAAAAATAATGTCGATGAGAACCTAATCGTCAATGGCGGCGGTTTTCGCGCTATGATAACCGACTGTTTGATGCTAGGAATTGAAGCAGATTTTCTCGGCGACATTTGGTTTCAACAAAAAAGGCGCCACTTCCCACACATCGCACCAATGAATGGATTTATTGAGAGAACACATCGATGAGCAGTTAATTTCACATTTTGGGCCGGTCGATTGGGCACCAAGATCGTGGCATCACACCGTTTGACTTTTTACTGGGGGTTATGCAAAGTCTAAAGTCAATTATTAGCTTTACAATAGTCCTAGCTGGGCTCTACCTTATCGAATTATGAAGTTAAAAAGTATATGCTTTATTTAAAGAGTATGTATAAGACTAAACGAGGTACTGGTTTTACCCGGTTTTCATCTTCTACAAGATTCTGCCTATATCTTTAAATACATAATGATATTTCAGTTCTTCCGACAGTCGAGTCTATGCAAGCTGATTCCGATTTCAAAATTTTTGGGGAATTTTTTCCTGCTTTTTCTATAAATATATAAATTTTTTTATTATACTATAAATTGAAACATCAGTATCCATTACAATACTATCATATATATATATTAACTCGTTCTTAGGACCGCCTAGTCAATTTGAAACTCTTCTAAGGAACATAAATGACACCTGAAGAAAAGTTTATAAAAATTAACATATTACTTAAGCAATTATATACATATGAACATGTATCTTTACCATACTCTTCCTGAGAATTTGTCACCTGCAACAGTGCCATTGCTATCATTGGATCGGTAAGTATAGCTCAAGTGACAACTCATGGTGAATCGGCAACTCAAGACTGACATGTTGCACGAATCGTGCTGTGAGCTTGTTGTTGGATTAAATCCATTTACAGCGCAATATTAAATAATATTATAAGTAAATTTATTAGTTGTCACAAAAGTTTTGCTTTTAACCCTTTTATTAGTCATTCGAAAATTTTATATATGTATACATACATACACATGTATATACTTGGTACTTAGTTGCGTGCAACGTGATTATTTGAACGTTTAATGGAATTATCTACAAAATAGTTTGACCCTAAAATTCACAAACAAATATTCAAGGGGATTCTAATAAATTACGAACAAACACATATGTATATATGTATATAGGGTTCTTTTCTAGAGTTGTAGAATTGCCTAGAGTGATAGCTGACAAGTTAACTGTTAAAATAAACAGATTTGGTTGACATTTATGTTAGGATTTAGTGTTGCCATTGCCATTCAAGCAATCATATCGTGCCCAGAAAAAGATATTGATATAAAGATTGGTGTGCCAGGAAACTCGAACGCTCTGTTGGTTCATACCTTATTAAACTGAGCAGGAAGAGATGTGTTTTTCGTAGTTTTGAAGACGACATCTTAACTAGAAACCGATAGGTCACCTAACTTGACTGATATACTGGACCGAGAAGTCAATGTTTATCAGATGGAGTTTTTGTTGATGAATGTGTCCCATTAAAAGTAATAAAATATTAAAAACATATTCTTTATCCGTAAAAATCACCCGTTATATGCAAGTATATGAGTATGTAGAAATTTATGTGCAAATGCAAGCGAGTAAACAATTTGCTGAGTTTAAATTATTAGACACACTAAAATAAATGCAATAAACAGATTAAATAATTTAATTTCAAAACAATCTTTGATTGATACAAATTGCGAAATTTTCTACATTGAGCTTATGATTTCTGTACTGTAGTTTTGCATTCTCTAAGCAATTGTTTAGAACTTACATAAACTCCTCTGACGCCAATCAAAACTATTTGTGGTTTGTATATCAAAAGTACTGAAAGTTCCAAATATTTCTGACTTCTAATAATAACCATTAAACTACAAATTATAATATATAAGTTTCTGTTTGTAATAAAGTCATATTCTATGTAATGGTCAGGGTCTGTTTGCTTGCGACACTCCAATCGTTCCAAATGTTTCCAAAGCTTCGTTTCTATGAATGCCGCTGCAATCTCATGTTTGTGTTCTTACCGAGTTTTAGTAACGTTTTCGTTATTATAATAATAACCAAATTTATGAAAAAATCCACATGATCATGGCTCTTGGGATTATGTATGAACTTCGTACGTAGTTTAGCGAATGAAGAGACAGCGGCTGCGCTGGCTGGGTCATGTTGACCGGATGGAACAGAATACTCCAGCTTTAAGGGTTTTCGATTCAGTACCCGTCAGTGGAAGCACAGGAAGAACTCCACTGTATTGGAAAGATCGGGTGGAAAAGGACCTGGCTGCACTTGGTATCACCGATTGGAGCCAAATAGCGAAAAAAACGGCGCGCTCTTGTTAGCTCGGCTTTAAGCGCATAAGCGATGTCCACGCCAGTAAAGAAGAAGAAAATGTTATTTTTAAAATATGTTAACGAAATTCCATGGAATAGAACATTTACTGAAATGTGCATTACTACCAATGAGAACGTTAATATTTAACTGAAAATCTTAGAAAATCTATTGATAAGATCATTGAAATGTTTACATAATACTCATAATAGCATAATATTTATATTGAATGTGCATATTACAACTAATTTTTTATACTTCGATTTACGAATAAGTTATAAAGGGTGCTCGTTTATAACTTCTATTTTTAGTAAAAAGTGAAAAGTTAGTTTTACAAATTTCGGTGTTAGATGAGAAAGAATTATGAAAAGATTTTCAACAGATGACCATTACGATCGCGTCTTATAAATGATGCTCATCTGATTTGGTACGCCTTTTGGAAGTCGTGGCTGATTATCAGAATAGATCAATGACTTGGCTAAAGAAAACCATACCAGACAGCAATTTCTTCTAACAATAAAGTCTAGAGACACTCTCTTCACGAATCTGGATGGCAAACAAAATATGATTTGATGACAGAAAAGTAAATGAGTTTCAGACATAAATTCAGACGATTTGTGGACATTATTCCATATAAGTTTTGGCATGACATTATTGACATTAAGTGTCAAACACATATTCTATGTTTACTTTGACAGCTTGTTAAACAGATATCATTATAGGAAAATATATGTATATTATGATTATGATATGATTCTTTGGATCACCCTATATAAACACAGAAATATATAGTAGATACCTGGAAAGAAGAAAATTTTATGGAAATGTTTATTATCATTGGCTATACCTAGAATTAGAGACACATATTCCTTGAGCTCCAGCTAAGAAAATCTGGCTGCCGGGCTTACTTTAAATACAGTCTGTTGCGGCAACTGTAAAGCAAAAGTATATAAACCTGAAATAGTTAGAAATTTATTAAATAATAATAATTTTTCAATTTCTGTAATATCTGTACTTTACTGCCGGATTACCACAATGAAAACTGAAATCTTCTTAATTGCATTATTAAGTGCAGCAACAATTAGTGCGCTGAGTCTTGAGGGCTACAAATGTAGCGACCACGTTATACTGACTGCCAATCCTGTAACGCCAATACGTACGGTACGTATCTGTGGTGTGCAGGATTATGCGGTTGCGCCAAGCTATGTTAACTATCAAACTTCAACGGGATTTGAGAAAACAGGTATAAACACTTTGACATTTTTTTTAAAAACTATATTTCTTAATGAGAATTTGTATTTCTAGCATTTCCTTTGGTGACCCTGGACGGCTTTTTAAATAATTTAAATTCGGTCAACCCATTGTTGTCTTCAGCTTCTGCTACAGCTCAGTTAACCTCGAACGAACTCCAGCAACTGTCTGCAGTGATTTTCCAAGCGGTGCCAATATTAACGCGATTATATGAAACACCAAAACATCCTTCAAGCAGCGACATAGATCTCAACTCAAGTGATTTAAAAGAAAAGTATGAAGTCGCGGAACAGAAATTGAGTTCAATTGCTGAGGACGCTGCACAAACGAAACGCACGTACGAAGAAGCCGCCGCGTCTGTGAAGAATATATTTGATGCTTTGACAAATACTAAAGCGGAGAGAGACATTGATGTGAACGTGCATTTAGAACCCTCCTTTGAAGCTTTACTAAAAAAGTTCCTTCAAGTAGTTACAGTCGATATGACTACAGCAGAACCTGTTGATGTTCATACACCAAAACCCACAACAGTGTCTACTCAAAGTAATTCCGATGAACATGATAACGAAGAACATGAAAATACTGAGGAGACTACGGAGGATTACAATAGTTGGATTCGTTTGCATTTCGGACCAGTTACAACGACGCTCACGACGGTTGCGGCAGCTACCGAAGATTATTCTGACGAAAGTTTTTACTCAACAAGTGATAAAAGTTCGGAAGACAACTCATTAATTTCACAACATTAAAGCTAAAATTTATTTCAACTGTGATTTTAAAGTAAATTAAACTCATAGAATACTATTACTTAGATACGTATAACCTAAAAATGATAAAATATTCGAAATATGCAAGTTCCTCTCACAAAAGAGCCATCCAAAGCACAAAATTAAGTTTCATACGAGGCTTGAAACTTTAACATAATATAATCTAATGCATGGTATATAAAAATAATAATATAATAATGCATATATATAAATATAAGCATACAAAAATGTTTTCATTTAATAATAGCAAATAAAATGTTATATAATATAACTAGCATATGTAAAAACTATTGTTGAGGAATTTTCTAGAAATACATACATACAATTCAATATATATAATATTTAAAAAAGTTATTCATTCATTCCGGAGGAGTTGACTTCCATCAGGGCAACGCCAGACACATGGATAGTGACCTACCAGCAGCTCTATGAGAGCTCGGTTAGGAGGTTCTTCTGCATCCACCTTATACTCCATACTTGCCAGGTGAAAAATCACTTCAAATAAAGCCAATAGAAAATACTTTCATGCCTTTTCAGGCAAGGAAACAAAAAAAAATTCGGAGGCCACATCTGGGCTGTAGTGCGGCTATGGAAGCATTGGGATGGTAGCTGTTCACAAGGAAGGTGGTGTGAGCTGGAGCGCTATCGTGGTGCAACTTTCAATGCGATGTCTTCGTCGAATCCGATTGACCCTTCGTTTGAGTCTCTTGGCAACTTCCACGTAAAACTTGACGTTTACGGTTTGTCGAGGGGGAACAAATTCATGGTGGATGTCAAAAAAGATAATGAGCATCTTTTCACTTTGGATTTGCTCATTCATCAGTGATCTCTTCACGGCTCAAACTTAAGCACAAGATGTTTGGTCAACGGTTTCGTATCAGCCATACTTCTTACCTATGTACATACTCATATGTAAAATGCGATTACTTGTCGGTCGCAATAAATTAACCACAAATCTTTTTATAAAGCACAAAACAATAACTTTTCATGCTGACAAAAACGAAATTCCCAACTTTTGATTAATGTCAATTTCTAACGAATTGTTTACTTCACATTTATAAAGGAATATATAAAATAAGACTACTGATAAGATCAATAAAACATACATAAAGGTATATACTATATATATACATATTTATATATATATATACTGCAATATTATATTTATATATGTTTATATGTATATGTGTCAATAAGCTGTAAATGTTGAAGTTGAGTTGGGAAAGAACCTTTTAGATTTGCGGCTGAGATGCTTTTGGGAATGAATTTTTGATTTTTTCTCTCCTACGAGTTTATGAAATTAATGCAATCGAAGTAAAAAAATGATTCTGAAGGCGGCAAAAAATGCCTAAATCGGAACTGCTTGAATACGAGTTCAGCTGTTTTGATTTGTTGGCACATGTACAGCCACACATGTGCGAACATAAGCAAAGTTTCATTTATTTTTTTTTGATAAAATTAATAAATAATTTAATAAATACAACAATTTTAATGTAAGTTTGTATGTATGTCTGTTCTACTGTAAGTATATAAATTTGCGTTTGTGTTCGTGCGTGTTATCAACGATTGAACTTGGAATCAGTGGCGCATATCACTTGAGTTCGACTTAAGGAAACCGGCACTCGTAGTTACTTTTGCAGTCTCTTGCGATCAATGCTCGTGAAAGTATCTATCTTAAATTTGTTGCAATTTTTGTTTTCAAATATAAATTTTATTTGCATAGGACGCATATTAATACACACATTTTATAAATAAATTACTGTGCTTCAATCAACAAAACGCAATGGCATTAAAGATAGCCTTAATTGCATTATTAAGTGTGGCCACAAGTAGTGCGCTTAGTCTGGAAGGATTCAAATGTAGGGATCACAACGTAATGACTGGCGATCCTGTGACGCCAATACGTACGGTACGCATCTGTGGTGTGCAGGATTATGCGGCGCCGCCAAGCTATTTGGATTTTCAAAAGATATCGGAAATTGAACAGAAAGGTAAGTGTACGGTTGCGTTAAAGGGTTAGATCAGTTTAGAGAGCTCAAAAAGGTCTCACTTTGATAGTAAGTGAATGCAAAGTGAAACCTTACACACGAATCTGCTATAGCCTATAGTGATCCAATATCGATGAATACGACAAATGAGCAGCTCTTGAGAACTAAAGAACTACTTCGTATACTGGATTTGTGCAAAAAGTAATAGCGATTAAAAAAAATTTATTGAACCAATCGTTACAATTCTTTAAAAATTTTCAAAATGGACTCCTTCTGCGTTGATGCACCGCTGTCAAAGCGATTTCCAAGCAATGAAGGCGTCCCGGAAGGCATTCTCCGAAATAGCCTTTAGAGCCGAGGTGATTTTTGCTTGGATCCCCTCTGTTGTCTTAAAATGCTTGCCTTTCATCGGCCTTTTCAAGCAAGGAAACAAAAAAGTCATATCTGAGCTGTAGGGCGGCTACGAAAACATTGGGATGCCGGCCTTTGTTAGGTCCGGGACGTTATCGTGGTGCAACTTCCAATTGGCTGCGATGTCTTGTCGACCTAATTCATACTTCGTTTGAGTCTCTTGAGCACTTTCACGTAAAACGTGGCGTTGATGGTTTGTCCAGGCGGAACAAATTCATGGTGGACGATGCCTTTCCTTTTTTAGGCTTGCGCCACTAACTGAAAAATGTCGCGCGAAATGTTTTGCCTGACTCTCCAGCGGAAGGAAATCTTATTACTTTCCGGAAAACCCATATATACAGACGGACACGGCTAAATCGACTCAGCTCGTCATGCTGTCCCTGTTCAGAGAATAAAAAATTTTAATACGGTTCGGCACCATACTGGTTTGGACATATATAATTTTTTTCAATATTCTACCAAATGAATCATGTTTTTATGATCATAAAGTGTACTTTGAATTTAAAAAAAATCGTCTTTTTGAGAAACCTATACTGCTCTTACCCTTAATGCACATAAACACACTTAAATAAGCTTCTCACTAATTTTACACCTTCCTCCTTTTACAGCACGGGACAACTACGCCACTAATTCATATGGCAGCAACACCTTTTGGCCCAATCGCGGTCTTCTAAGGCCACCTACGCCATCGTACGCGCGTTGGCCATTGGCTCCGCGTCAAACGAACAACGAAAGCGAGGAGCTACTTTCAACACTTATCAAAAGTTTAGCAGTAGCGCCTGCCACTTACGGAGTACCCAGAAGTAACCCTACGAACTCACGTGATTTAATGGAAACGGAACGCATGCTGCAAGAGAAGCTGCGTTCAATTACCGAAGATACCAGTGAGATAAAGAGTTCGGTGAATAAAGTCGGCACTAATATTAAGAATATGCTGGAAACTTTGCTAATGCAAAACGCGAATCAGCAAAAGGATATAAATGTTAATATAAATTTGAAGCTGGATCCCGCTTTCGAAGCATTATTAAGAGACATCATGGCACTAATAAAAAACGAAGTGATTAGCGAAGGTAATGAAGAGTCAACCTCAACTGAGCCCATGCAAGATAGCAGTGATGAGAACTCGGATGATTATGGCAGCTTTTTCTCAAAAGCATATACGAACGAAAATACTAGTTCGGAGGAGCAAGTAACCGAAGCACAAGTTGATAGTGCAGAACATTCGGCCGAACGAGATGCCACAGAAGAAATTGAAGACATTAATAGTTGGCTGCGTCTACATTTCGGACCGATTGTAAAAACGCCGACATATGACGAAGATACAGACAGTAGCGAACAGGAAAACGAAACAGAGAAACCGGAAGAAAGTTTTGAATCTTGGTTCAATGCTAATTATCGGAGACTGCATACAACTGAAGCACCAACGGATTACAATAGTTTGGATGAACAGACGTATAATTCCCAAGGAAGTCAGGAGCATGTTCAAAATGGAAGTGAAGAGAATAATAATCGATACATAGATATATATTCGGATAATGAGTTGGACGATATTATAACATCTTCCGAAGAAAATACAGTAATCGAAGAAACCACAGAGAGCAGTGAAGAGGCCGAAAATAATAATTATGATGCTATATTTGTGCCGACAACAATGAATTCTCTAGAATCAAGCGAAACAGTTGCACAATTGGAAAATGGCGACAGATATAACTATGCTACGCCCACAGATGAACAAATGAAAACGCAACAAAAAACTCTATGTGTTATGAAGGCTTTTCAGACTAACCTTAACGATTTAGATCTTCTCAGAGAGAATCTTGATAAATGTCGTACAGAGTTTATAATAATTGATGATGCAAATGATGCGAATGAATCGAAGAGCAGTGAGGAAACTGAAACACCCATGGGTGTATCGAACGAATCAAAGAGTAGTGAAGAAACAAAAAATTTTGTAACGGAATCGAACGAGTCGAAGAGTAGTGAGGAAACTGAAACCCCACTAAATGATTCAAACGAATCAAAGAGTAGTGAAGAAACAGGAAATTTTGTAACGGAATCGAACGAGTCGAAGAGTAGTGAGGAAACTGAAACACCCACAATTGTATCGAACGAATTGAAGAGTAGTGAAGAAAGAGTAAATTTTGTAACGGAATCGAACGAATCGAAGAGTAGCGAGGAAACTGAAAAACCCATTGTGGATTGGTATATGTACGACGATGATTATAATACACTAGATTAATATGTATTAAAGTAAAAATTGTTAATATCTAATCATTGTAATGTTTAAAAACAAAATTGAAATATGAAATATATATAATAATTTCGAACAATATTGAGTTATATAATACTATTTTTTATTTGAAAATATATTGTACAAATAAAAATTATTTATTTGTGAAAAATATTAAAATTTTTAGTATATCCATAAATTTGTTATAAAAATAAGCTTTAAGATATAACGATTCGAGACAAATGGTGAAAAAGTGCGCTTACATAAGCTCAAACCTTACTATTGAACTTTAAACTTACGATGAAGGAATACAAAATATGAATTTTACACTTTTTGTAGCGGCAAGATTGAATAAATAATTTACCAAAAAATTACAGCTAATAAAGAAAAAAAAAACAGCCATGGTGTTTTTTTTAATTCCCACTCCCGCCAGTTCGGTGGGTAAGTCTTGGCTTCCCAAACGCGTTAAGTTGTTTCCACCTCATTTTCTTCATACAGCCCTTTGGAGTTGCCGTCTGGTAGGATTCCCAGCTTTACGGCGTGAACGCCAAAAAGAACAAAAGCCTGTTAAAAACCTCAGAACTAGAGAGAGGCTCGCTTTGCTAAGGGCAAAGAGATCACTAGATCATCTCGAGCTACAGTACATGTACTGATGGTAGCCCACACAATGGGATACGAGAGCGCCGACCCGCTGCCATTCTACCGGTAGCGGTTCTAGGGTGTATTTTCTTGCTAGCTCATCAACTTTGCAATTTCCTGCGACTCCACTATGTCGCGGCATTCGTACCAGTCTTATCACCAAGACACTCGATGCTATTGATAGCGTGTTTCGACACTCCACGGCCAAGCATGAACGCACTATAAATGGATTCAGGGCTAGTATCTGAGTGGATAGTCACTTCTCTGAAAAAGGCTGCCCTCCGGAGCAGTAAATCTTCTGCTATCTTAGTAGCTGTCACCTCGGCTTTCAAAATACTGCAATAGTCAGGAAATCAGAAGCTAGAGTATATGCCTTCACCAACCTTTCCCCCAATCTGTGACCCATCCGTAAAGAAGCTGACTGCCCCTCTCCTCCAACGGCTTCTTCCCATCCACAACTCCCTCGCCGGTATATGGGCAGAGAAGGAGCCGCCAGATTTCAGTTTGGCAACTCCATGATCCAAGTGATATGTAGCCAAAGTGTGTGAGGATTTCCGAGAGTTCAGTCACTTGTTATTCTAAGAACATAGTTTTAGACTCGTAAACTAAGAATAATAAAGTTTACACAATAAATGTATTAAACGCTCTATAACAACATAAGGTATCAATATTTGCTTAGAAAAGGAAAAAAATCACCATTTTCCTAATTAAATAAAGATAAGTACTTACAAATTTTTGTTTAATAGATCATGAAGCCTCTCACACATTCTTATATAAATACTTATAGTACCTATATATTTAAAATGATCCGCGCCTTCTCCTCAGCGTTAATACTTGCATTTACGTAGCTTGTTTACAAATATGTCTATAGGAAAATCACACTACGAAATGCCTTAATGCGAAAGTTGTGCTTATAGGGTCACGAGATTTATTTTCAATAGTGATAAGAATTTCAGGTTTGATATAACCGCAAATACGTGTAAAAATTACAATGAAAACTACATTTTTAGAAAATTATTTTTTCTGCATATGTGTGTGTTGGATTAAAAAACTTGCTTCTTTAATCTTTCGATTAATCCAGTTCATGGGATTTTTACAAATACCTAATGTACGCCGATAACAAGTTAGGACCCTTTGATTACATATCAAAAATTTTGACGTAGAACCAAGTAGAATTGTGTATTTAAAAACTTTCAGCTGTCAGGCCTAACTGCATATACCTTATATAGCTATTTATGTACTTTGTCAGGGTCGTGAACTCGAAATTCCCCGTATTGTTGTCATATAAACGTAGCTTGAACTATTTTGTTATTGGTTCCGAGTTGCTTTTAGATTTTTGTGACTAACTTTTAAGCACAAAACGAATTCGAAAATGAGACTTTTCACAAAATATTGTTCGAAGTTTTAGTTTCGACAATTTTCGTTATTTCTCGCTGTCTATTAATCCATAGAGCTGCGGTAGTGACTTTTAGAGACAATTGAGAGCATTAAGAGGTTTTTATGGCGCTTTTGAAGTGAATCCTTTTTTATCGGAAGATATTGTAAATTATAATCGAAGATTTTGAAATTATAGTACGATTAGAGTTTATGAACTCTCTGAGGTGTTGTTCCGAAAAAAGTGAATATGCGTCTATCAACCTTACTATTCTTATGTTCGCTTCAAAATAATAATTAGTATATGAAAAAAATACAGTAGACGATAATGTGATGGGCCGTACCTTCAAATAACAAAGAATAAGGAAAATTGTATGATACTCCGAAATAAAGCAAACCAACAATTACAAATGTGAAGGTAATAAATCTAACGAATGTAATTGTTATTGAATGTAAAACAAGTGAACCAATATGTTATGGATACTTAAATATGTATAAGTAAACATAAAAAATGTGGAATAATGTGTTATTGGCTTGTCGGGGTTAATTTGCTGGCAGACTGTTAATGACACCTCTAATTAGATGACATTAGCGCGTAAATAAATTGGTAACATTTGCTTTCGGAAATCGGTAAGGTGCCGATGTTTGCTAAAACGCGTATTTTTCCATAAGTAATTAGGAATAAAATTGGCTGCACAAGACCAGGAAAATAAAACAGAAGTAAGAAGATATGATTTCGGGTGCAGCCGAATTTATTAGACTACTGTAATGTGCGTAAAAATCGAGATACGAAAATTTTAGTACGAAATCACGCTATACAATCACCCAACAGTAGATAACCTTTTAAGTCCCTGAAAGTTTGAAGGATGCCGTATTCAATACCAATCTTCCCACTTCGCCTCGTCATTTGGTTTTGTTATGTGTTCAGTTGAGATTGGTAGAGCATGTGATCCATTTCGAGGAAAGATTATCTCTTCTAAATGTTGCTCGGCTACGTCTCAGATGGTTCATCCATTGAGTGCAATATTCGATGTCAAACGAGCATTTCGACTAGTAACTGGCGAATGACACGCGTCATCTTTTGCTCCAAGGCCTGAATCAAAGCCGGATTGACCGGCGCAAAACATGAAATTATCTGTTCCTCGAAGTGTTCTCTCAACAAAATTCATGGGTTGATGTGATGTGTGGGAAGTGGCGCCGTCTTGTTGAAACCAAATGACCCCGAGATCACAAGCTTCAATTTCTGGCATCACATAGACCATTATCATTATTATGGCAAGATAACGCTCGCCGTTGGCAGTCAATCACTTTCGAATCACTTTCAAAGAAATATGGACCGATGGTGTGAAGCCACCTTTGACCAATAGGTATGAATTTGTATTTCAACAGACCAACGCCAGACACACACACATCAATAGCGACTTGCCAGAAGCCCGGATAGCTTCGTTGAGATGATCTTATACAGTTGTCTTATACTACTGTGATCAAATTGAAAGATGATATTTGCCCATTTCATCTCCTTTAAAGCAATCATCATAGCACTTGGAAAAATCCTCCGTCGTGTTGGCCATCAGAGCCTTCTTCGATTCAGCTTTTATATCCTCAATTGAGTGTAAATGGTATTCTCGGAGTGGTCATGTGAATTTGCTGAATAGCCGGAAGTTCCACGATGTTAAATCAGGCGAATGCGGTGATTGCGACACGATACTAGTTGAATATGTGGCGAAATGATCACGAATAACCAATGCAGTATGAGATTTTGCATTATCGTACTTCTTTGTTTAATAATTTCAGACACAGCAAAAATCGAAGAATTCACTATTAGAGCCTCACAAAACGACGCGTGTCTCAAATACTAATGAATATTTTGACCAATTTACAGAATAAATTTTTGCCAACAGGTACTACTTTGGACTGAAGAGGCAATTAAAAAGTAAAGTCCTCTCCCGATGAACAAAGATCAAACTCTACAAATCTCTCAATATAAATAAAAAGAACCTCTAAAGTACTCTTCTGGCTATTCTGAATAAAATTCAATGCTTTTAGACAGTTATCATTTAGTTTTCAAGTTTTGAATAAATTTTTTGTTCAAATTTGTCATACGAAACATTCAAATTTATTAGCTTGAATAGCACTAATTAAACACAATTATAATATATTTTTTAAACTTATTGCAATTTATATAATTATACATCTACAAACATATATATTTTTTCCAAATTTACCATTATATTTTGCGAAAAAGTGTGCAATTCAAATAGAGTACGAAAATGCGTGGCAACATTCGCGATTGTGAACCGTCAACGTCATGTCTGCGTCGTAATATATATCATCTGCACTTGCCGCTCTTCGTCTTCGACACGATACGACTATTTCAGGATCATCCGAAATTTCTGCGCGGCCTAAAGGAGTGTCATATTATCGACATGCTTGAGAAAGAGTAAGTTGTTACTATCATAAAACTCGAAAAAATGCCACTAGAGTGCAAATAATACGTGATTTTATTGTCTGCAGGGGTTATGCTTGTGGTGATGTCGAGGCACAAGTGAAAATGGCGCTAAAAGAGCTTTCCTCCAGCGGATTCGTACGTTACATAAACAATGGCTATAGAACATTGGGACCATTTGCACGTCTGGCACTGGCGCGTACACCACGGCAGTTCAATATCGCATGGGATCGGCTTTGTGAGTTGCAGAAAATCAGCACCACGAGCTTGAGTTCATCGTGTAGCTCACGCATTCCATCTACAATGTAAAATATTTAGATAAATATGGTACGAAAGAAAGAGAGAGAATGAGGGAGAGTGTGTGTGTTAGGAGAGTACCACTTTAGAAAGAAAATCATAAAATTTTGCAATAAATTAAAGATTGTAATCATGGCTTATTAAAAAACAAACCTTTCACAAAAATATGTGTAGATATTTTGGTTTCACTTTGATGCATGGAGTTCAGAATGATATAATTTATGTTTAAAGGGTTAACCACAAAATCCACTTCAGAAGACTTCGAAAAAGTCGCAGTTTAATCGAAAATGTGTAATAAAGATAACTGGTTAGACCTCTAGCCTTCTAGACAACAGCTAACTTACGAGTACCCATAAGTCTTGAGTTGGGATTAGGTAGGTTTAGCGGATTAAAGTTCGGTACTCACTATGCTTCACTTACCATAAAAAAAAGAAGTCGGCTATCTGGAAATAGTTAATATTTGTAAGAATAAAATATGCATTTCAAATTCCACTTAGTCACCCGTCCAGGGTCACCAGGATGGCCGGAAACGCAGATTTTTCGTTGTCAAACTTAAGGTGGCGCGTTCACGAAGTGGACTGCTTAGAGATGGCCTAGAGAGTTGCATGTACTTCAATTATCACTATCAAACAGCACTGGCTAGTGGATGGTGCTTCTTCTTATTCCGAGCTCCAGTATATACATAAGTGTCTGCTGCCTTGGGCTTTCATTAAGATTTGGATTTCTTAAAAAAACCAATTGAACTTCTAAGAAGGGGCTAAGTTCCAGTAAGTTCGCACATTTTACAACTTGAAAAGATAAAAGCGGAGGAGATATATTCAAATGTAGTAAAACTTTATTTTTTACATTTTGCTGAGGTCAATGACCTTTTTGTTTTTGATTTAGCCGAGGCAAGAACCTTTGTTTACATTTAGGCAAGTCCTCAATCTTGGTAATTTTAGTATATAGCTGTCGTTCAAGCTGATCGATCATGTTAAATTACTGCGTTTACTTTGATAAACATTATTCAATTATGTTGCCGTTTAGTGGCCGTGGCTGTGTTTTACGGAATTGGAACGAACTCTTCTGTGTATACCCGCTGAGATTGTCAAATCAGATACATTTCACAATACTTCTTCTGAAATTGTGATGGTGCTTCGTAGTCGCAATAATGGTCCTAACCGAAAACGTTGAGTAAATTAAGGCTATAAGCAACTAAAAGAAAAGTTATTTAAGGTAATGTACACATATAATAGTCTCACCATATATTTACCGATATCTGCATTGTACCGCAATATTTAATAGGGGGTTTATTTTTGTGAACTAATAACATTCGGTAATTGTCGCTAATGCAATAACAAATAATTGTTTCATCGTTACTTAAATTGTTTGCTTTTGGTTTTATGTACCGTTCCGACCCTTTCAGATTTCTTAATGTGCGTATTTCAGCTACGCATACATATACATATGTACATATATGTTTGTATTACTGTGATGATACCCTTCAAAGGTGTTCCGAACTATACATGCGTATATTTGTTTATATGTCTGTTTATATGCAGTAGTGGGCGGCCATGTGACACTGTTTTTGTCTGCAGTCTAATGTAAGGGGTTTGTACTTGAGGGGACACTCCGAAGACCATTATCTATGGCTCGCATTATTGTCAATGGCTGACTTACATTTGGAAAGCTAACATTTAACAATATTAGCTGGTTGACGATTTATTACAACAACGGCACATGTAAGCATATTTAATAGCTGGCCAGTGTCGTCTTTGACCCATCCTTTTGACACTTAACCCTGTTAACTATACAAATAATTATATTTGGGTAATTACAATGCATTCATGTAAATACAGCTAAATCGGCAGGTGAGCTCTTTCTCAACAATTATCTCTTAGTAGCCTTACTTACATATACATATGTATCTACATATATTATGCATTAATGCCCTTAAACGCTTGTGAGTATTTAAACAAGTGTGAGAAAACTTAAAATTTCATAATAAATTAAATTTTCTAAAAATTGAATTTCGAGGCTATAAATCCTCAAACTTCTATATCCAAGGTTATTAACTTTAAATATACATAAAAAAAAACAAATATATTTTTCGACGAAAAAACATATAAAACAACAGAAATTTATTGTAAATTTGGTAACTATTTCTAATACTTTATGGATACAGCATCTCGGCGCGAGTGTCACCTAAGCACTGGCCAGGCGCGTTGCCTGCCTTTCTTTTATACAGCTAGCAGGCAGCCAATTTACAATGATGTTACCTTGTGACTTTACAGCCAGTTTATAGTGACGTCACCGTGCGACTTACAGTGATGCTAACTTGTGACTTTACAGCCAGCCAGCTGGCAGTTAGTTTGCAGTGATGTTACCGTGCGACTTTCACATCACAACACATGGAGGCGCGAGTGTCAACCAAGCACTGGGCAGGCACGGTGCTCGCCTTTCTTTTATAGAGCTAGCTGGACGCCAGCTTACAGTGATGTTACCTTGTGACTTTACAGCCAGCTAGCTGCAGCTACTTTACAGTGATGTCACCTTGTGAGTTCCAAATCATCATATATCGAGTCGCAAGACTGGCAGCTGCCAAGTATCTAGTTATACTGCTCAGTTTGGGTCACTGTAGCGTATATAATGCATAAGGATATACATCTACATATATTAAAAATTCATAATTTCAATCCGCGAAAGCAGTAATTATTTTTCTTGTATTACTTCCATCGAATTTCACAAAATTCCGCAATAAATATTTGGGTTTCCTATTTCTAAATACGAATAAAACTGATCTGTAGACTAAAAATGGGTCCTAGAAACTACGAACTTGATAATTTTGTTATTGGCACTGGCCAGTCACGGTGCCCGCCTTTCTTTTATAGAGCTAGCTGGACGCCAGCTTACAGTGATGTTACCTTGTGACTTTACAGCCAGCCAGATGGCAGCCAGTTTACAGTGATGCTACCGTGCGAGTTTACAGCAAGCCATCGGGCAGCCAGTTTACAGTGACGTCACCTTGCGACTTTCACATCACAACACATCGAGGCGCGAGTGTCACCCAAGCACTGGCCAGGCACGGTGTCCGCCTTTCTTTTATGGAGCTAGCTGGACGTCAGCTTACAATGATACCACCTTGTGATTTTACAGCCAGCCAGCTGGCAGCCAGTTTACAGTAATGTTACCGTGCGAGTTTACAGCAAGCCATCGGGCAGCCAGTTTACAGTGATGTCACCTTGCGACTTTCACATCACAACACATCGAGGCGCGAGTGTCACCCAAACACTGGCCAGTCACGGTGCCCGCCTTTCTTTTATAGAGCTAGCTGGACGCCAGCTTACAGTGATGCCACCTTGTGCTTTTACAGCCAGCCAGCTGCAGCCACTTTACAGTGATGTCACCTTGTGACTTCCAAATCATCACATATCGAGTCGCAAGACTGGCAGCTGCCAAGTATCTAGTTATGCTGCTCAGTTTGGGCCACTGTAGCGTATATATTGCATAAGTATATACATATATTAAACATTCATAATTTCAATCCGCGAACGCTGTAATTATTTTTCTTGTATTATTTCCATCGAATTTCACAAAATTCCTTAGTAAGTATTTGGGTTTACTACTTCTAAATTCGAGAAAAAAACTGATCTGTGGACTAAAAATCGGTCCTAGAAACTACGAAATTGATAATTTTATTGTTAAGGATATTAAAGTAATCTTTATAAAATTATTCAGAATAATTTTTATAAAGAAGCTCATCCTCAAAACATTACAATTTGACTACAGCGCTATCTAACGTGGATAAAAATAGTTTACCTAATTTTATGTTACTTCTCTTCTAATCGTAGACAGTTTCGCTTCTTGAACTGCTGATGCCAAAAAGTGTGAAAATCTATATATGCTTCATTTAAGCAGAACCTTATTACAACTTCAATGTAATACTAAATAAAATATTTAATTATCAAAATATGGCGACATCAACGCTATCAATCGAAATGATAACCTTACGCGTCATTATTTCATGCATTTCATCACCTTGAGCCATTGCAAATGCTTATGCATATATCTTCCGTAAATATACAAAATCCGGTTGAAAGATAACCTTTACAGTGGAACTGCAATGACGAATTTAATCAAAAAGGACATTATGATTTCGTAGAGTTCTTTTTTGGAAATTATGCCTGAAGTACCTTTCTATAATCTCACTCTCTCAAACTTGTTCTCTCCACCGGCCATGTGACCACACGAGTTCAAGAGTTCAATTGCTCGGTAGCTGCACAATAATTGCACTGGTCACCTTCTAAATTCCAAAACTTAAACAAAAAATGCATTAGCCTGCCATGTCACCTGTTTCATACATTCGTTCATATGTGTACTCGCTCCAACGTTCTGCCGCATCACTTAAACGTTCACCCTATGCCGCAGAACCTATAATTTATTACTCATATTATGGTATATTACCTGTTTTTATGTATGCCAAGCGAGGTTACACGACTTAATTGTCAACATGCAACCCCTTTTATATTGCATTTTACACATGACGTTTCGCTCCTGTTTGGCTGATGGGCGTGTTAATAGACACAATTTCACCCTGTATAACACCTTTGCCGCCGCAGAATAGTAAATGTCGGTGACAAGTTGAGTTGCTTGCTTAATTGCCAACTATATAGTGGGTGGATATACGCGATAGATCGGCGGAGTGAGGGTAGAGTATATAGATGTTTTGGGTTTGCAGCCACAACAACACGCATGAGATTTTTCCCAGGTGTAATTTATTGCTTTTGTAATCACTGCAGAATAATCTATTACCACGGTGGCATATTAGCGTACCCGCATAGACGTACGAGTGTCTGGTATATGGCTACATATGAAAAATATTAGGGTTGTCGATAATCTCTCGATGGTAATATTTTTATGCGTTTTAAGTTCTAGTGTAATGGATTGGTAGATATACTAAATAATTAAGAAAAAAAAACACCCGAAAATTGATTCAGTTTTATCAAAAACACAAGCCTACGAGTGATGCAAAGCCGTCAAAGGCAGTCGAGAGATCGTTGAAGACATGCCGCGTTTGGACTACCTTCAATCTCTTTAAGTGATGAAAATATTAAAAAGGTGTATGACATGGTACTTGAAAATTAATAGGCAAGTAAGTAGAAAGTTGGCAAGAGAGCGCGACATCTCTCGAGAGTCCGTTCGAATGATTTTGGGTATGAAACGCGTCCTTTTTTCGCAACGATTGTGACCGAATGTTTTTTGTTCCGCAAACTGAAATTGCCGTTCTGTGGAACCCGTTTTCAGTAGTTCGAAGAAATAATACAAAACTCGCTGAAAGAGCGGAAGACCATCCCAAAAAGTACTTTTTCTGGAATTTTTAAATAGAAATTAGCTTCATTCCTCCACTACGTTCGAAAAAGATACTGCTCGAACAATTTTGGGGGGATATTTTTTCTCCAGGACAAGTTGATTGGTTACAAACAAATTTCGGTTTGAAAAATGCTAAAGCACCACCCTAAACATGAAAAAGTACAAACATGAGAATATGTTCTGTCGATTCCTAAATGTCTACACAAGTTGCTAAGTCATGAATTACGCGTTCTCCAAATTACTTTTGTAATAATTTTGAGCAATTTTCATAAAAGTCGCCATAAATATAATATATCAGTACTATAACTTTATTAGACATCAACACGCAATCGCCAAAAAAGCGAAATTTTTATGAATGAATGAAATTAGCAACCAGAATTACGCATACTCGGCAGCGCGATTTGAGCTCGAGGCTGATCGTAGTCACAAATTTCACCTTGCCTGTCCATTATCAATGGCTTATCACACATTTTTTTCATTAATCGTGTCGGAGGTATGATGCAAGAGAATCTGTGCGAAAACATTCTGACTTGTTTCATATAAAAAAAAATTTAAAGATTAAAATATCAATGCGATATGCTTGCAATTTAATGAGGAGTGGGTTCAAAGTGAGGTTAACTTGAGTAGCACAAATTAATGCAGAAATTTAAGATGCAGTGGAATCGCTAGTCTCACTTAAAGGTCTGGGAAGAAACCCGCCTACCTACTAATTGTGTCTTGATTATTATTTTTTCATTTAATCGTTATCTTCAAACATACTTCTCTAGCACTTTTTAAATGAGTTAGCATCTTCAGAAGAACCTTTGCTTCGTAATCAATAAAATAATTTGTTGCTGGAGAACGTAAACATGTATTTGGAAAAGTTTTTTATGCGCTTAATCAATTGAGATGATGAATTTCAAAACAAATTTGCGTGCATTAAGGTGGTTCTAAATTATATGACATGATAAATTTTCGAAATTTCCACTGAAAACTAAAATTTTGTTAAAGATTTATAAAGTAGTTAAAAAATATTGTTTGTCAAAAAAGTCTTGCGGTATTTTCGCTAGTTGGCGCTGAGAGCGCGTAGTTCTAGTTTTATTTGTCGCATGGGGTCATGTTATACCTTTTTGGAAAGCTCATTTCACGCGCTAACACTGATTGTCGTTTCTTTTAAGTCGTTCGTGAGTTATAGCGTCGCAAACATGGAGCAAAATAAAGAGAAAATATGGCATATTTTATTGTACTACTACGATAAAGGCAAAAATGCATCTCAAGCCGCCAATAAAATTTTTGCAGTTTATGGACCCGATACAGTTTCCATTTCCACCGCACAACGATGGTTTCAACGTTTTCGTTCTGGTGTAGAGGTGGTCGAAGATGCGCCACGCTCCGGAAGGCTTGTCGTCGAAAATTGCTATAAAATCGCTGAATTGGTGGAAAGAGACCGGCATAGTAGCAGCCGTAACATCGGTCAAGAGCTGGGCATGAGTTATCAAAAAAAATTTTGTGAACAATTGAAAATTCAATACAAATACCCCAAGAGATTTGTTATTTGTCAATAAAAATAACAGATTTCGAGTCCACAGATACAAAAGATTTCTTACAAGAAATTGATTTGGATTGATCAGTTTGTATGGCAGCTCGATAGTAGTTCGTTCTTCATAATTTATTAGGAAAGTATACTATTGCTTTAGACACTAGCTCATAAGTGAACGCCTTTCTCTTAGAACTTTCTCGCTTTTTTATTGCTAGGAACCTAAAATTCCCGCCGACCACCTTATTCACAAACTGGACGAAGGAGTACAGACTGGATTTCTACATTTTTAGGAGTTATATCCAACAGTCTGCACTCTCTTTTTTCTTCTTTATTGGTATACACACAGCTTACGCGGTTATAGCCGCGTTTACAACAGCGTCGTTCAGTCGTTCTTTATTTTCGCTGTTTGACGTCAAGTGTAGGTTCCAAGTGTAGCCAGGTCCTTCTCTACGTCTACTTCTCTTGGTGGGTACTGCGTCGAATACTCTCGACTTAGCCAGCGTAGTCGCTGTCTCTTAATTCGCTAAACTGTGTCAATGTCGTCGTATATCTCATACCGCTCATCGTTCCATAAATCTTTCGCAGAACCTTTCTCTCCAAACCTCGTTACGTAACGTCTAACATAACCGCGATTGTCACAAAAGTGCAAAGCCCCAACAAGATCCTCAAGTCGCTAGTCGGTAACAGTCGGGGTAAAGACAAAGAGACAATGCTGGCAACATAAAACGCAATCGGCCGGCCGGTTTTAAATTACAGTGCCCCTCTGGATACAGCAGGACGCAGATGGAGAAGATGCAAACCTTCTAAAATATCGCACTCCGGACAATAACATCATCCTATTGAACTCCTCTCAAAGAAATTCTTGCTCGGATGTTTTCACAGACTCCGTCACTTGCTTAAAGAGGAACGGCTCCTAGCAATATCAGAAGAACATTCCTCCAACACGTCGCAGACATACAGACAATATTTCGACCAAATTTCTGACACCTTCATCGACTTCCTCCAAATAAACGGCGCACTTGGAGTTCAAACAACACCAATCGCAGAACCAGAATTCGAGTAGACGAGTGAAACAATAGTCAAACAAATCTTACAAACCGCGTATTGGTGGACCGGGCCATAGCATATAGGTATGACATTCTTAAAACTAACTGTAAGATAAGATAAATCAGCCTCTCGGTACTGTCGGTACAAACTGATGCGAAATCTATTCGGGTTTGAAAAAATCGCCACTGCTCTACAAATTCCCAAACTAGCATTAAAACAGAGGAAGTTGAAAGTATTTTAATGACATTCTAAAACTTTCTTGATTTATTTACATGTACTATGTATTTGCCTAATGCTTTAATAAGTGCACTTCTACGTAATTCTCCTCGTCCAATACAATCAGATTATTTGAATTTTGTGAACTTTTGGCCACCGCTATATCCACCACACGTTTTTCAGAACCACTTCCATCCAGTGCTTGAGTTCCCAACTCGCGGTCCAAGTAAAAGTCATATGTGCGCACATGACCATTTGTCAGCGCAAAAAGTCGCCAACCATCGCTAGACAATTGCAGCGACTGCACCAAATCCTTACGCAGCGCCGAACCGCTCAATATTATTTGCTGATCGTAGACACGTAACTCAAACGGACGCTTCTGATTGCTTATCAACGCTATGCAGGCAGCCGTAGATGGACGCGTCTCGTAAGGCGTTTCGTACGTGCTGTCAGCCTTACCCAGCAGACGCCTTTCGTTGAGTATGATATTTTGTATGGCGCATGATTTACCAGTGATCGGATCGATATCAGACATTTGAGGTGTGTAGACATCTTTTAGACGATTAACGGCATATGAACTCGCAGTATCCAAGCGTTTCGTCTCACTATCGCGTTGCGTTGACAATTTCTGCTGATTGCAATTGACAATCATCACTGAACCATTTGACAGACCAACGGCCAGAAAGTTTTCGTTTGTCAACACTTGTAAAGCGGTTGCGAAAAGCAGTCCGCTTTCGCTTATGTTTATTTTACGAAAACGTTCTGACTTTAGACTCTTTGAACAGCTCAGTACGAAATTGCGATTTGTACATACGTAGATGCGCTCACAACCGGTGTCGATGCCGGTGAAGCGCAAACCCTGCAGTTGTTGCCGCTGTTGTTGCGCCGATTTTGTGCCGTGCAGCTCACGCAAGATCTCGTCACTGTATATTTCCTTTTGGAACAGTTGCTTGGTCATCTCGAACTGGGTTTGCGTGCGGAGTAGACCACGTTCTAGGTAGTCTCGTAAATCGCAAATTACACTCTGTATTAATTTCACGCGAGCCCAAGGTGAACTATACTCATAACGAGAGTTTAACATAGCTGCTGAGCCTCGCTTACGACTACGATGTGTATCCGCTGCTTTCGACGTAGAAAACTCGTAATGCTTGGCGCTCGTTTCCACCAGCGTCCAAACCGATAAGAGGCCGGTGTCATTGAGCGCCGCAAACTTAAAGAAATAAACGGAACAGTAAGAAATACACCGAGTTGTCATGTATGCTCTGCTTACCTGTATTGATTTGTAGCTGCCCAGCGCCATTACTCGCTGTGGCGTACGAAAACTACGCACATCTACTACAGCGCCAAGATCGCTGAGTCTATGAGACTGTTCCGTACTCGCTGTCCAATTGGGCACTACCGATTGTGTTGCCGCGAAGTGTGTGAGATATCCATCTAATTTCGAACAGAAGGTGTATGTTTCGCGCAGATCCCACATAGCAATGCTGCCATCATGTAGGCCACACACAACAATATCCGCATTATCGTAACAGATCTCGACGCGACAAACCTCGCTCCATGTGGAGAGCAAGCGAAACGGATTTGTGCAATCACTGGTGGACCAGACCATTAGCAGTTGGGAAAAATCACAGCGATAGACATCGGCAGCGGGCGGACTCGCATGCACCGTTATGATGAGATCATGCCGGCCACTTGCAAATACATGCACTACGCTTAAAGCGTTCAAAAAATTCGTTTCGAGTTGCACATAACCGGCGCTAATTTCTTGAAAACTCTTCTGGTTCTGCGCCAATTTCATTAGACGATCCTCTGGTGTGTTGTCGTGCGTCGAGCACAGCACCTTTGAGATGAGTAATGATGAGCGCAGCAGAAAAGCGTTTAATTTTTCAAAATCTAACGGTTTATGTAGACTGCTTAGCTGTGCGCTAACCACATCTTTACTGTTATTTTGTCGCAATACCGTTAACTTTTGCAAACTAATATCGTATTCGTCAGCGCTTGAGTTATGTAACGTGTACGCTTCGTCCAACGGCGATTCGCCACAACAGTTTTGTATTGCCATCAGGCCATGCATACCGGTGGCGAATTTCTGCACCGTCTGCAGATCATATTGTGGTGGATGCTGTGTCCACATGGTGCGCACGTCATAGCTGTCCGTTTGACTCTCGCTCGACATGCGGTTTTCGTTGGTTTGTGTCGAGCACTGTGTGGTATTTAGCGTACCATAAGTTTGCATGTAAACCTCATAGCTGATGGGCTTGAGTTCGAACAGCGAAAATGTTAAAGTGTCAAATTGAATTTTGTTCATTAGCTCGATGCCGCGCTTGCGCAGTATGGGACGTGTATTAAAATCTGCATAACCGCCGTAGGTGCATACAATTCCGCCGAATTTGTCGACCTCCGCTTGTGTGTTGCTCATGTTAGCGTAACTGCTGATACCCGAATCAAGCTGATCTGTTGAAGTGACACTGTAAGTGGTGTCCATGCTGTCGAAATGCCGCTCATTAATTTGTGTCGCCAGCTCAGAAAGCTTTGGATGCCTACGCGAATTCATTTCATAATTTCCAGAGTCCAGTTTTCGTTCAAGTTCCCTATCGCGTTGAATCACTGTTATCGGATACTGCGTTAATTCAGTTTCTTCCTCGCAATCGGTATCATTAACGGGCATTTCATCACTGCTTTTACTTGTTTCTTCCTGCGTAGTCGAGGAAGCGCTGTTTTTGCTATTATCTTCATCTTCGCTGCAAATGCTATGTGGTGTTGAATCGCTTTCAGTTTCCCCCGACGAACCATTTTGTGACGACGAGCCAGTCTCAAAGTCCGATTCATAAGTTTCAAAGTCGTCGGAGTAATTATCCGTTTCCGGTTCCTTTATAGAGTCACTGGGTTTTGCTTTATGTGCATGTTCTGCTTTATTTCGCGTTACTGATGATTCTCGAGACTTATATTTGGCTTTACTGCTCAATGGTTCATCGAAGGCCACTTCAAATGCTACAGGTTCTTTGACAACCGTCTTGTGTTCGATCACTTCATCTGTCTCCAATTTTAGGTAGTTCGTCTCATATTGGGTGGCAATTGCCACCTCTGCTAGTATTTGTTGTTCACTTCTACGTTTCGCCGAGTCGCTACGTAATATGATGATATCTTCCTCTTTCAAGGAATGTGTGCGCACACGCTTTGGTGGTTCATCAGCATTTACCTGAATCGCGACAGCGTCTAGATCAGCCGGTTCCACAACTTTGTCTTTAATAGCTCTGGTAGGTATAATGTTATCGTCGCTGCGTTCTGTTGTAATTTCTTTACGTCGTGGGGGTGGGGAGACAACTGTGACGCTGTGATACGTATCTAAAACGGCATTTGGCTTGATTGCGGTTGAAGGTTTCTTCTTAACGGCATCTGCGATATCGCGATTTTGTTTAGCGCGCATAGGCAGTTCAATAACGCCAGTCTTCCTTGTTGTTGCTGCCACATTTTTCTGCGCCGTGGGTTTTATATTTTGAATCGGTGCTTTGGATGTACTGACTACACGGTTGGTGGGTGTGGTTTTCTTTATAACAGAGTTTTTTGTTGGTTTCACAACATCGCGCGGTGTTCGGCTCTTACTGAGAGTGGTAGGCTCTGTTCGTCGGGTTTGTGTGGTGCTTTTAAGTTTCAGCTTTTCCTCGTCTGCTCGCTTAATGGCAGTTGTTGTAGAGCTTGTTGTTTTTTTAAGTTGAGTGTTTACTTTAGCAGCTCCACTTACGGTTTTTGCGGGATTACTTGTGGTCGGTTTTGCTCTTGCTATCGAGCTAGCCGTCGACTTAGCACCCTACAAGATTATATTATGAAATTAAAACAGAGCATTTAGAATGAACTATTAAAAAATAAATAAAAAATTAAGATAAACTGAAACAAGAAGTGCGGATTTTCCAAAAAATGTCTTTAGTTAACTGCAGTAGCTTCGGAGTAGTAGCAATTTATGTTTGACTTTGAAGGAATGTATTTAGATATATGTCATCCCTATATGGAAACGTGGATCTAAGGACTTCAATTCTGCGCCTACGGACTGCTGTGTAGTCAATTAGCAGGTGTTCTAGTGTTTCAGCCTCCAAGTCGCAGCACCGGCAATTTGCACAAGAAGCGACCCCTGCATCAATACCCTCCAAAGTTTTCAAGCCGTCGGTGTACGACCTGTTGTACTGACCCTAAGTAGTAGCTAGAGAGAGGTGTCGATGCTTTCGGAGCGCAAGCCACCGCTCCAAAATTGATAATTGGTCGCACTATCATGATGTACAACCATCTGATAATCCTTGGTTTATACCCCCAGGATTTACCATCAAGCCGATTGCACATCATCAGTGTCTTCGTGGCTTTGACCATGGTCAGGTCAACATGTTGCTTCTACCACAACGTGGCATCCAGCGTGAAACCAAGGTATTTGACCGTATCTCTATCTCTCTGTCCCCGAGTGTTACGTTCCTGAAGCCAGGCAGAGAAATGCGCCTCGTGAACGGGACGTGATCGTCTCCAAGGTATCGATGTTTAGTCCAGCCCTTAGTCAGGCCTAGTCTCCTTTGTACGATATCGCAGAGAGTGTCCTCAAGTTTTCCTCTAGTTATGATAAAAATATCGTCCGAATATTGTTTACAGTGGATTCCATTGCTAGTTAGTAGCACGATTGGGTTATTTGGAAGACCATGCCAATCTTATACCCGTTGATCTCAATACGTTGTCCTTCCAGAGGTCTTCACATAAAAGCTTACTCAAGTGATGAATCACAGTTATGATGAGGTGAAGATGGCTATTAATTCGACTCCTAGGCAGACGCTGAAAAATGAACGTTTGGCAAGACTTAAACAAAATTTTGTCAGTCGAACTTTTCAACATTTGCTCAAAAACCGCTAGTTTTGTGTTCACCATTCACCAATACAGCAATATTTTTCAAAGAAAAGTTGCTCAGTCCGAAATTCGCATAAAATTATTATTTTTTGAGATCTTTTTAGTTTTTTGAAAATTCAAAATAATTTTCAATAATTTCAAGTTAAGTGTTAAGCTATACGCTTCGTTGCGTGGAGTTAAGGTGGTAACGTGTTGACAAGACATAAGCGCATAACAACTGTCAGTGTCAAAATGCCATATGATTGAACAAAGAGATGGAAAAACTGTATTTACAAGCATTAATTACCCTATACTCGTATAAGGTCCAAATGCACAATAGCTATCCTTTGTATTTATATTTAGAAAAATTTTCATGCTTATATACCTATGAATATTTACTGAATGAATTACTCCGCCAGATCTACATATACGCATACAATTGTGAGTTCTTGTACAATGTGCGCAACAAACAATGTCGCACCATTTCACCGTAGCGCCTCATATCAAAAGAGAGCGCAGCTATTAGAGAGATCCAATTGATGATCGAGAAAAGAGAAAATGAAGCAAACGTCTGCAAATGCTCAGATATAAGTGCGTATCTGATGGATACAGTTGTTCAGTTGTCGGCGTCTGCATGTCGGATTGCGAATTGGGAATTGATAATATTGTGAATGTATGAGTATTTACATTACACACACGTATAGGCATACAAAGAACACAGTATACGGAAGCCATTGACCTAAAATCGCAGTGTCAAAATTCAAAACAAACCAGCAAGGTAGGTGAATAAAGAAAATATACGAACACACATACATACGTATGTATACAAATATTGAAAGTGAAACAGACGTGCACAGTTCTAGATAAGTTTCTGTGCAAATTTGCGATTTTAATTGTTTTAATTGAAAGCTTAACAATTAGAGTATCAATAAAGTGTTGGTGTAATGTATTGCTTATTGAAATTTATATAATATGTGTGGATATGTGCGTATGGAATTGTAACGCAGTTGATATGCATAAGTTTGTGAACTGAATAACGCAAATAAAATGGCAGAAAATACGGTGCTGTGCAGTTGAAATTAGTTTTTTTTTTAAGAAATCGGTTAAAGGCACAAGTTTATAAACGATAACAAAGCCGTGGTGCCAAAATAATACACAAACTGGTTTTCTTATCGTACGGCTACAAAATGTCGCAAAATTAATTTTTATATACGCTCACATTTCTTAGCTGTGTCGCTTTCGCTTGTGGATTCGACATTTGATTTTTGGCGCTCTCTCTCTCTTATCACTTGAATAAAGGAAACCTTTATTTAATTAATATCAAACTGTTGTGCTATATAAAATAATTTAGTTCGTCGTTTTTATTAGTGTTTAATCAATGAATTTGTTGAGAAAATGTGCCCTCTCATCATTTGGTTGCGTAGCTGTCGTCGTCATTGCGATTAAATTGACAAACGCTTTTGTTATGGCAATTTGTATGGCTGCTTAACAACCGTTGTGGTGAAGTTTTGTATCAGGGGCAGGTGCAGTGCATAGGTGGTAAAGAAATACGTTAATTAAATAGCAACAAGCAGAAAAAAACAAAAACAAATTAACTATTTAGATATCAGTGACAAGCGTGAAACAGCTGATTGCTGGAATGTCGGCAAAAAAGAAAATACACTCTTATGAAGGTAATAGATTGTGCGCTTACAAAAATTGAGGAATAGATGGCGCTGTCGTGTTATAGTATTGAAGAAACGGTTATTTTCAAAAGTCCTTTGGTTTGATTTGAGAAGGAGGCAGCAATAGGAGGACCTATGGGGAAAAGGTGGTGACTTACACAAAAAATGGTAATTGGGCGCTCGAAAAGGCTACACTTGATAAGTCTCCATGGCTTAGCCGAGATCCGCACACGGACACGCCGAAATTCTCTCCTTTAAATACATTCCAGAAAACTTGAATAGCTGCGTCGCAGTGGCCAATCGGGTCGGCATTTTCTCTGGTCACATATGATATGTGGACGGAGCGGATTCGCTGGAGAAGAGGCGGGAGGGCTGGAGTTTTATGTAAGAAGTCTGCGTCCATTTTAGATTTAGGCTGTCAAACCACTGTAGTGTTTTCAGGCAGAAGTGGCTGATATTGAGTGGTATTGTATGAAGTCAAAATTGTATGAAGTCAAAATTGTATGAAGAGGGCCTCGCCTTTGCAAGACTGTGGTAAAAATATCTCGGCAGTTCTACCTTCAGTAAACCAAAAGGCATAGCCAAAACCAATCGTTACAATTCTTTAAAAACTTTCAAAATATGTAGGCTCTCACTGGGTTAATGCAGCGCTGCCAACGCGATTTCAAAGCCTTGATGGCGTCACGGAAGGTATTCTCCGGAATAGCCTTGAGTCTCTTTCGCAGCTTTACCGAATTTCACACAGAATTTAATCGTCTACCTCTGCTCTAAAGAACGCTGCATTTTCTACTTACACCACTCACAGTAACACGTCGCTCGAAAATGTTTGTCCTGACTCTCCAGCTGCTCGGAGACAACTTACCAGCCGCTCGTTTGTAAGCTAGGAACGCCCTCTACCGAATGCAGTCGTGGCGGAAGAAAATCAGTCCAATTACTTTCCGGACAAACCCTGTACATGCATATGTACATATGTATTTATGTATTTATTATAGACAAGTGAAAAATTAAACGATTTTTTAAGACAATTTATTGGCATAAACAGACACCTGCAAACGGTTAAACATACTTGGCTGATGGCTTTTGGTTTATAAAAAATACAAACGTAGAGTATAAAATAATATCACAAAATTGCATACATTTTAAATAGTATACCTAAAACTCGTCTCACAAATATCGATAGAAAATTAAATTAATGACTAATCGTGAATGAAATGTTTAAATCTATATAATGGCTTATAGCTGCGAACCAGCTTCAGATCCAGATTCTTCTTACAACTAAAAGTGTCGTTATGACTAGCAGCGTTAAAGAACACTGCAACGACTGACTCGAATTCGGATCCACATAAACGTTTTTCACATAATTCTCGAAAATATCCTCCATAATGCGTTTCGAATTATCCGCTCTCAAATCCATTAAACCTCTCAGTCCGTCCGTCTTATCACGGAACATAACATTATTGCGCTTATCGAATATGCCATACATGGTGAATGGGCGCGTTTCGGGCCGATAGCTTTTGCCGAAGAGCTGATCGATATCACGCAACGAATTATAGATTTCATTGCGGCGCGTCAACGAATCGTTATGCGTCATTAAATGGCCGCGTGTGGTCCAATGCATATAGCAATACTCGAATTTTGAGTGACGCTCATTTCCGCCGTAGGGACACAAAACGCGGAAGGACTTGTGTCCAGTATCACGCACCCATTTCGCTGTTATATTGCCCACCGTATAGTTTTTATATATAGCCGAGCTGAGAAAAGCCACTTCGCCACCTTCGGCTAAGCAACGTAAAGCGCCCTCATCGCCACGATAAGTGTCCGGACAGGTGCGATGAGCATTCGGATGCCAAGTGCACGAGTCACGGTGGAAATACGACTGTAGTGTGGTCATGCGTTGTGTTATATTTACAATAGTTTCTTGCACCGATAAGTGTGTGGGTCCTTCGTATGACGGTAAACAGGCTTTAGCGTATTCCAGATCGGCAAACGTTTTGAATTTTGAATCTTTATGCACCACAGCTATGACGGCATAACGTTCATGCATATCCTGTGAGAATTCGTAAAGTATCGGCACGAGATTGTAGTCACGTTGTGCTCTAATGCGATGCTCGTGATCGACCAATACGACATCGGCTGCCTTGTATTTGATATCATCCATGCATGAATCCAAACTTTCGGAGCGTATACACTGGATATTCGGTTCGACGCCATATACTTGGGAGGCTTCCTGTAGCCACGAGCATTTAACATGCTGTATTATGGAGGTGGTACAGTAAACTATTGAACGCGGTGGATTACATTCGGGAAAGCTATAAGCGCTTTGAAAAGCCGTTGCTTGATCGAGATAATCATCGATAGGTATGACATTATCCAAAGTGACGATTTCTATATGATAATTCTCCAAGAGGCTTAGCAAGGCATTCTGCCAGCTATTCGGCTCGTTGTGGTTCAAGCCAGCGACTAGATTTTGTATTTGTGCAGCGTGACTGCGACGCGCCGCTATAACTGGCCAAGGTTTGGCCACCCAAACACACGGACGTTCAGCTGTGATAGGCTGTAGATGTCCATCGGCGCATAAGTAACTGTACTCGGTGGGATTAGCTTGCGCGGGTAGTCCAGTTAACTGTAATTACGATATAAATAATATTAGTTAAAATTCGTGCGAGTAAATAAGTGGTAGACTTACGCCAAAATGACTGCGTACATCGTCCAGTCGCGCCCAAGCAACATTGCCGACACCATTTGTGAGGCAATACAGAGCGCCGCGCCGTCCCCAGTGCTTGTCGCCAATATCGCAGCGATATGAATCGTAGCAAAGCTGACATAACGACGGATAAC